AAGCAGATGAGTAATCATCCGGAATAGGTTATTCCGGCGCCGAGAAGCGCTTTTCCTATGGAAAAAGCCACTTCTACAGTCACTGTTTCCCTGATATATATGAATAAAGCACACCAATCATCAGGAAGGTCAAAATAACCGTTATTTCGTGCTATTATTCTATCAATTGACTGATATAATTATACGGATAAATCTCCCGCCGATCCGTTAATTCAGACCTGCTGTTTTACCGATATTATTCCACCGCAGAGTCTGACAGAGAAAAGAGTCACGTGGCGGGTCCGCAGGTCGTTCAACCACATTTCAAACGAACATTACAGCAAACATCGTGTAGCAATTGTCATTTAGCGGGACTGTGATAGGAGTTCTAGCACATAGTTGGAAAAGATTGCACCCCTAGAAGCGTCTTTATGTATAAATATTAATAGATCAAGTCATTTCAATACACCTCCTCCTGTCCAACCCAAAAAGCACAAACTATTCTGATGATACAAGCCGACGTACGTATTCCGACCGTCAATCTATCAAACTACCCGGGCAAAAGACGCAGAAAAAAATCGAAGAAAAAGAAGACATAAGAAACATCCAAAAGAGAAATACAACAAAAATGATCCCACCCCTTTTTCATGTGTATCGCTCCCACCTCCCCGCGAAGTATCCCAGGGAGGAACCTCGTCTTCCTAGGGAGCACCTAGGATGGAAGAATTTGTATGCATTCCATCCTGCGACTTGACTAACTTAATAAACGCAAAAAAAAAAATAAAGGGGGGGGGGGGGGGGGGAGAGAGCGAAAATCTCTGTATCCGTCATTGTATACATCATGTGGGGGAGTCTTCGAGGCCGTTTGCCCGTTGGTACACGGTAAACCCGCGGTACAGAAGCCGAATCTGTCCACCACTTTTTTTTTGGGTGTTGTGTTATGTTGTGTTGTGCTCATTGGTATGTGTTTTTTGTTGTTCATGTTCTTCATGAATACAAGATATGGTGAGAGCCAAGCTGAAACCAAGGAGGCAGAAAGAGGGAAGAAGGAAAACAAACGCACAGGGAAATACAGGCAGGAACAAGGAGGTAAATAAGGGGAGAAGAGCAAAGGTAATTCAGCCGCTCAGGTTTCTTCTCACAAAAATATCCACGTCGCCATGCAAATTCGGTCTTGGGAAAAGGGGAAGAGGAGAGGGAAAAGAGGAGGTATCAGGGGCTGGCCCATCCACCAGCCACATCAACCCATTCAGGAAGACAGGAGCCGTCCTTGCCCTCGACGTCGACAATGTCAGTATCGCAGCGGCATCGGCATCCAACACCATTCTCCATAGGCTCATCAAAGTTGGCCCAGTACTCATCTTCCTCGAGACGCTGCTTCTCATCAGGAATGGCCATGTCAAGGTACGGCTTGTGCGGGAGCTGGCGCGACGGTGCGTTGGCCGGACAGTGCTGGATCGTCGTGTGGCGGTAGCCAATATCGCGGAAGTAGTGGATGTCGCGTGTCGCCAGGAGGGCACCAGCCGCAAGAGAGTGAATGGGTGCGTCACCCCACTATTCGTTATGTTAGTCGTTGTCTCTTGAGGATGGAGCATGATGTAAGTTGTGCAAGAAATTGTTGGGGGGGTCGATTTGCAGTGGCGTACCCGTTCCATCCAAAATCCTCCGGTCCATCATCTCGAAGAAGTCATTATACTCCTTGCTGCGGAACCAGCTGAGCTTGGCAATCTCAAAGTTGGACCAGAAGTGGCACATGTTGTACTTCTCGCCCTCCATGGCCTCGGGGTCAATTTCGGGGAGCGTATTCTGATTGGGGTCGTTCTGCAGGATCTCTTCAGGTAGAGGTGAGTTCTCGTCCGGTCGGGACTCCTCAGAGGGCGGTTGCGGCTCGACAAACATCTCCCAGAGACCCTGGGAGGTGATGTTGTTGAGGCGCTTGTAGGCCGAGGCGTATCGGAAGATGTTGGGGACAGTCTCGCGCAACTCCTTGACGGCAATGGTGAAGCCGTACGTCTTATTGTTCTCAATCATCTTGAGGAAGGGGTCACTGCTCTTGGTTAGTTTCGGCGTTGGGTCTAGGCAGTTGTACATGAGATACAGTGCACCGGGGACACGTACTATGTAATGTCGCAGAAGTAGGTGATCTCGGGCTCGACGCGCCAGTACCACTCGTACTTGAGCAGGAGAGGGTGGTTGTAGAAGAAGCTACGCACGGCGGTCAGTAAGATATTAAAAAGTGGTGACCGGGGGGGGGGGGGGGCCGAAGGTGTGGGGTGGAGGGGGATGACAAACCCAGAGTAGAAACGGCACATTTTGTGGTAACTCTCGAGACCACCGTACATGACAGCGGCATCGCCCTGCTTGGCGATGCCCTCCTTGACGACCTTCTCATCGGCCCAGTCGGGGTAACCCCACATGTCAGGACCGACCTTGCCAAACTCGACGTTTGACGAGGCGTACTTTTGGACCGTCTCTTTGAAGGTCTCATTAAACTCGCCATCGTTGAGGAAGACGTAAGGGTAGTGGTACCAGCGGTTGAAGTGGCGCTCAACCGACTTCATGGACTGTATGACGCCGTCAAGCTCCTTGTTCCTGGCAAGCACAACAAATGCGGCGTTGGCTCTGGGCTGGGTGGTGTCAGGCTCGAGACAGCCGTTGACAAAGACCTTGTCGTGCTGCTCGCTAATCTTCCTGATAGCAGGGGGTGCACCGGCGGGAACGAGCATGCTCCCCGGCGAGTCTGGGTGCCTTATAAACAGGATCAGGATGAGTATGACGACAAGGATGGGAAAGAGGACGACGACGCCGAGGGGCACCGAGACGGTCGAATTGCCACGTAACCGCAGGGGTTTGCGAAAGAAGGCCAGGCGCGACGCCAGCGACGTCAACGTCTTCTGCTTGGGGCTGGGCGACTTCTCATTGTCGAGTGAAGGCAGCTGCAGGTTGCGGGTGGACGCAGCCCTGGATCGCCTATGGGTTTCCATGTTTCTGTGAGGGGCGCAAAAGGCTGCCCGCCTCGTGGCAGGGTTCTAGGCGGCGTGCCAGACGGCTCGTCTTGGTAGGGTGTGGAGGAATGAGGTGGAGAGGTCTGTCGCGGGAGGGGCGCCTCTATTGAAAACGCTTCCTCTTTCTCGATTGATCGGCCTTTTGGTCGTGGGTGTCTGTCGCCTAGGTGCGGTCACGAATGTCGTCGAGATGGATGTCTGAACAGAAGGGGCTAGGTCGTACGGGCCATCGGCATGTGGCGAGCTATCTTGTTAGACCCCCTGGGATTTCCTGTTCCCTCGTGAGATGACAGCGCGCGGTGGGAGGAAAGGGGAGGGGGAGGAGGAGGAGGGAGAGGCTCGAAGAGAAGACGGCCTGGATTAACGAGCGACAGGGACACAGATGATCTGGCCTCGAAGACGTTAGAGACAGAGACAGAGACGGATAAAGAGATGCGAGTGTGTGTGCGTGGGTGAGTGTGTGGAAGGGAGAGTCCGACCAACTAAAGATGGAGAGTCCGTAGTGAAACAGGGTGGGCACTTGGAAGGAAAAGAGGATCTGGCCCTCCGTTGGCAACTTGGCATTGGGCAACAGGCCAATGATTGGCTTTGCTACCCGCACTCTTTTTTTCTAGGTCTCCGGCCTGGGAGCAAAGTATTATTACTTACCAAAGCGCCACCAAGTGACCACATAAGCTGTCTGCGGAGACAGTTGCCTTTGATGATAACACAGAGGCAGTTGTTAAGCCTTTTTCCTTATTTTGAAGAAGCAGTTGAAGAGAAAGGATCTAACCATTAACGGAAATAAAAGATGAACAGCAAATAAGCAGTGTGAAATGATTGGGAGAGATCTAATCTTGTCTGTAATTACTTTGTTTGGCCAAAGTCGGCCGCTTCTTCACCGGGCAGTCCTCTGTTTGACTATTAATAATACTTTTCAACTGCCTAGTGATTAGTAGTATCTCCGTACTGATAGTAGCAACATTGTGCCCACTGCCCAAGTCTCCAAGCTGACCCAACAAACCCTCAAGATGTAGATAGAAAGGAGACTTTATTACTGGGAATAGTCGACGGGAGCCCCAGCTTGACGTCCTGATAGTACCACTCCTAGGTTTGCCATCAAGCAACATGTATGATAGTACTAGCACTGTTGCTACTAACCCTTGTATATGTACACAATCCTCCTCTCTCCTCCCCCAAAGTTGCTCAAGCCCGCTTTGGGCTTTATGTGGCACGCGGTCAACTGGTATTTTCAATCGAACAGCTTGGGTGGGGCGCGCGTGAAGGCGGCGATGCGGGCCGGGTCGACAAACGTCTTGTAGGCCTCCTCGGCCGTGGTGCGGAACTCCTGNCTTGGTCACCTCTTCCTGGCCGATGGGCACGCCATCCCAGGTGACGCGCATCACGGTAACATGGTCGACGTCATTCTGGTCAAAGTCGATGCGGAGGCTGGAGTAGTGGCCGGCTGGCCACTGCTTGAGGCGCCACTTCTGCACCAGACGCTTGGGCTCGTCGAGCTCGACGTACTCGCCGGCCACGTTGCCGTCAAAAAGCTCGAACTTTCCGCCCTTGTGGGCACCCTCGAACAGCTTGGGTGGGGCGCGCGTGAAGGCGGCGATGCGGGCCGGGTCGACAAACGTCTTGTAGGCCTCCTCGGCCGTGGTGCGGAACTCCTGCTGGTCCGTCACCGTCGTGGTGTTGACGATGGAGCCCGTCTTCTGGGCCGACGAGGACGTCGACTGGCTGACCGTCTCGCTGCCCTTTTGCGGGKGTGTCTTCGCGGGTGGGAAGTTCCTGGATGGGTCGGCGTCCGCGGCGTGCTGGAGCTCCTTGCCGTGCGTCTCTATCAGCGTCGGGGCAATCTTCTGGAAGGCCGAGCGCAGCTGGGGCACCACTAATGCTGAACTCGGATTACGTGTACACTCACTCTGATTGCTCTACTATCATAATTCAGATGCTAGTGAAGAGAGGATGGTGCTGAGGCGTGAAAAGATGCAATTAGAGGACAGAGAGACACGTACTGATGTGTGTCAGCAGCAATTTAATTTATTATTATTCTTTTTCTTCCTTCTCATAGCTCGACAGAACCGGCAATGTTTCCATATAGATCATCATCGTGCGCGTAATATTCGACGGTAGAAAGACTTATTCGTAGTCAGTATGCATGTCTAACAGGGAGCAACCAGGAATGATTTACATATTAACCATGCCTAGCGTAAAGTGTTATTTGTTCCCATTGCATTTAGGGCATACGTATGAGCCCACGTACCCGGTGCCGTTGCATTCGGTACACGATGTTGGAATAGCGCGCTGGCGAAATGAAGGCCTTGATAAGGAATTGAAAGAGATGTTTATGAGGTTGTAAATTGTACTTTAATAGTACGCGACGTGTGTTGTGCGGTTATATAGCGCAGATGACGGAGAAAGCGGGGTGTGACCGAAGGGGCATGTGATTAAATCTATTCCCCCTACTACCTGCTAGTAGTTTTCATTCCTTCTCATTCTTACTAGATGTCTCCCGCTATGAATGACCTTACCACGTCTGCTTCCTAGCGAAATGGACACGACACGATAATGCTAGACCTATTACAGGGCGTTTAAATCGACCCAAAACTTACGAGAGTATATCTAGGGATACCAGGTAAGGACTTAGTCATTCATAGATTTAATAACTAACGATATTAGACTAAAATCAATTAGCATGCGACTAGAATTAAGGAAGCCTAATTACATTTGCCTCCGACCAAACATCGTATACCTTAGCATCGATTAGGTGTGCCGAAATGCGAGTGTTTCCACCTTATAGAAGTTCTCGAAGACCCTGCGCCTAGGATTGAAAAGGAGCAATGCGACGAAGAAAAAAAACATCCGGACGATAGTGAGGTCTGGCCCGGGCAGGGGGACTCGCGTAGATTTAGATGCCCAGCCTTAAATTATAATAAGGAATTTCAAAGAATGGCTCGCTTAGTCCCTCACTTTAGTAAGCGTATACGACTCCCTCCCTCTTAACATAGCTTGTACTAAAATACTATAGATATAAATTGCTTCGAAATATACGTATTCTATCGCGAATCATTCACTAGAGCTTCGGACTACCTCGAGCACAAATGCACGCAATATAAAACGGACACTACGAAGGAATACTATATAACAGAGCGGCGATCGCAACTCTAACGATACATAACCGACAACCTGTACTACATAGATCCATCTCTCCCTAGGCCTTAAGAACGGAAAAAGCCTTAGGATATAGCAGGCTTCTATTCCGTGATATGGCTAGAAAAGAAAAGAAAGGCGACAACGGATATGTTACGACCCGTTATGCGGCCTTCACGTGCACCCCACTTTTTCTCAACCACCCCACCAACTGACGGTCTACTTGGAGAAAGCATCGCGACTTGGTTCACTACGTCTTCACGTGAACCACCGGTGAACCAGTAACTGGTTCACTGGCTGTTCACCCGCAAACACGGTGAACCACGCAGTATATAGTCAACCTCATTTCCATAGCCTAGTCACTCTTTACCCAGCTATCAATACAATAGTCAACGCTTCTATTAGAACCAGTTCCCCAAGAACAAGCACCTGCGACTGTGACTGCCTTATTGCTCAGTTAGACGCCCTGACGGCCTCGCCAACATAAAACCGACACTTCTCTGACTACCCTGTAGCCCAGAGTCGTACCAACCGTCACACCGAATTGAATGACTAAGTAGCTAAGGGTTGCTGTCACACGCATATATGTAAATAGCCTTATAGGTTGATTTCCTTCCTTTGAGTTGAATAAGTTATTATATATCGGTCTAGGACGTATATATAGGTAAAGACCACTATATTAGCGTCTATATGTCATCGTGTGCTGTCGCCGGCAGGAAGCACGTCGGGGGGACTATAGGGTATGTACGGAGTACGCGCGACGCAAATCAAACTCATCGTATCGCTGTCCACGGTGATTAGCCGGTACAATTGAACTACCAACCGATTTCATGACACTTACCTGGCCAGCTACATATTTCCACCATTCTGTTTTTAGTAGGGAGATGCTTGCTCACTATCCTGAGACGACAAGCAAATACGACCACTCCTAGTTCTTTATTGCATCTCTCTTCCCCTCACGCATCGCCGACCATGTCTCAGAAAAACCAAAAGGTCACATCCAAGAACCTGTCTTTCAATAAATCTTTACCGCCGTTCCTGGCCGCCCTCCACGCGCAGGCAGGCGGAGGTGGTCGCGGTGAGCCGTCTCCCGGCGGCCAACGGCGCTCCGCCAAGAAGCGCCCCAGCAGCGAGGAGGCTGAAGACGTGCCGCTCGTCGTGGACGAAGATGGGAACGTGGTCGACGTTGAGGTGGACAAAGATGGCGTCGTGAGGGAGGACGGCGGCGATGCTGTCGCCCGGGATGACGAGAAGGGCACTAGTAAAGACCCTGAGACTTCCTCCAAAGCTGCTATTGGCGGCAGGAAGCGCAAGGTGGGAAGAGTTGTAGGCGAGGATGCAGCAGTCGGCACTACGGAAGAGGAGGACAAGCCCAAGAAGCCTAAGGGCGCGTCAGATGGTGGGAAGGATGAGGCAAATAATGAGGAGGTCGTCAAGGACAAGAGGCCCAAGAAAAAGGCAAAGAAGATAAAGCTCAGCTTTGACGACGAGGAGGGTTGAGCTCATTCGAAAACGCCTCCAGGCTGAGAGACAACCCAGAAAAGAAGGGGAGAAAGACGGCCGCATAAGTTTGCCAAGGGCACCCAGGGGCGATGGGCTGGCTGCGAGGAGCTGAATGAGGCTCGGCAGTACCCATCCTTCAGCCTACGATGCGAGAGCCGAGAACCGTTCTACGTCATGGGTGACGGGACGAAGCACGCCACGAGACCCGGTCATCCGTTGCGGAGCATGGCCCACGAAGTCGACAGCAGGGACAAGAGGTGCACACGTCATGTATCGAATTCACTGGCCTTAGGCCAAGACGATTGTATGCCGCTTGGGAAACGATGGTGTTGGGAACAACCGTGGCGACAATATGTATATATAACCAAGTGGTGTTTATTCCAGAACAAAGGAAAATAAGAGTCACCGTTAATCTACAGACCACACATCCAGACAGAAACGCTCACACCTGGTCTCTCCAATACAAGGCAACATCCTTCTTAACAGGTTGATACCCTAGAAGGTTTAATACATGTTTCCTCCTCTCCCCATTTCTGGCTCCCCTTTTACCTCGAAACTGATGCATCTATCGGTAGCGATACTCGGGCTTGACAAAGTCGGCAAAGGTCTTGGGCTCGGGGTGCTCAGGCTCGTGGTGGTGGTGGTGGTGGTCGTCCTGGGGACCGACGTACTCCATCTTGTAGACGCTGCCGCACTCGGGGCAGCGCTCGATGGGGCGGTCGCGGCTGACCTGTGATGGGGGTCAGTATTTCGATTCAAGCATTCATTAGACAAAAAGAGAGCGAAGGCAAAGGCTCCTTTCCTCCTCCACCCTCGGAATTTTTTTCATTATGATAAGAAAAACCTACACGAAGCCAGGTGGTGTTGTGGGAGTCAGCAGGGAAACCGGTGCAGCCGGCAAACTGCTCGTCACCAGCGGAGCGGATAGAGATGGGGTCCTCCATTGTACCCAGACGGCTGGCATCGAGGGGGCGCAGGTCGAAGATGTCCACACCCTCCATCTTTCCGAGAATCTCGAGACGCTCCAGACCGGTGGACTGCTCGAGATCGGTAGGGACGGTGGCGCTCTGACCACCGGGACCGAAGAGGTCGGCCTCCGTCTTGACCTCTAATCGCCACAAGGCCATTAGGCCAGTTAATTAGCATCATTCATCCGGTCACCAGGTCCACGCTTGATGATTTCTCCGTGTCGCGACGAGGAAAGAAAAAAAAGACATACCCGAGATGGTCTTGTAGGCGCCAATCTTCTTCTCGGCGGTTCCGGCAATGGCAGCGGCCTGCTCGTTGGGGGTCTTAGGGGTCGAGGGGGCGTTGCCTGAAATGGTTTACAATATGCCCTGGTTAGCATCTATGTCCCCTTGGGAAAAAAGAGTTGTCTCCAACGTACGGCGGGCAACAGTCGAACCAAAGGAGCGGACGGCGACGCGGGGGGCGGCGACGCTGGCACGGCGAGCCGCAGCGGCGGCAGTACGTTGCAGGAACATGGCGTATTCGGGGGTGGATCGAGGCGGATTGAAGCGTGGGTTTTGGGTGATGAGGTGGGAGAGAGGGAGGTTGTCGAGGGATTTGTGAGTGATGGGATCATTCGGGAGCCTTAGGTGATGGTGACCCACATTCCCTACGCTGAATTGACCAACCGGAGGGTGATTATTCACTCACGTGACCTCCTTGCTTCTGGGCCGTCACGATCAGCTCATTTTTTCCTATGTCCATGTTTCCGGCACAGCTGCTACAACATGAAGGACTGATGCCCATAAGGGACAAATAATTTTTTTAAAAAAAGGTAAAAATGTAGAGATTTGGGTTCAATCTGTCATATTTCACTTATGCCATCGTCTGGTTATACTACATGTACTCCCTCTCAATGCACAGCTTTTCTCTTTTTTTCCTTTTCTTTCCTGTGCTATCCTACAATGCAGTGTCCTACTAACCCGGGTTTGACCGTTCTTCAATGCTCCTTGTTCAACCAATCACTAAAGCCGTAATTCCCCTCTATCCTTAGTCTCTATTGTTGTCACAACAAACAACTGTTCCAACCATGATCGCACAACAATGTCTCTAAACATCTGATTCCAACAGATGGAACACTCGCAAAGACCTGCAACCTTATCCGAAATAATGCCTCTCATTAGGACGGGCCCTTTTCTTTGCGAAACCCATTCGTGCCCCGCCGAGAATGGCGGAACGACCGCGCCCGTTGCTTCTTCTGCACGCGGGCCCCTGTCCGAGCCCTTCCACCCCGGACTCCCTGGGGTGCTTCTTCCGGTCGGGGCATGCCAGATTCTGGGTTCTGGCTCGTCGGGGTAGTTGGACGAGGCCGGTTGTGGGAAGCCGTGAGCAAGGACCGGCTTCTCGCCACCCTAGCCTGAGAGCTGGCACTGATGGGCGACCTGGGGAACCTGGCAGGCCGGGGGGGCTTTGGCATTGACCTCTCTAGCACCTTCGTCGACCGATAGCTGTTTCCCCTGCCGTCGAGACGGGCGGCATAGAGGATGGCCTGGCGGAAGAGCGGGTCGATGCTATCCCTGGAGATGATGTTGCGGATGACGGCCTTGATGTCGTTGTTCTTGACGAAGACGCACTTGCCAGCCCTGTAGGCTAGAAGGGCTCTGCCGATCCTCCAGCGGACAAAGTCCCACGCGCCCATGGCCATCTTGCCCCTGTCGGCGAGGTATTGGAAGCCGGTCATCTTGCATCCCAAGATGTACATGATCTCCTGCTCGCAGAGGCCCGTCTCAGGGAGCAATGCCTTTGACGCCAGCTGGTTGGGGTGGTGCGGCCTCGCGCGACCAAAGACGTTGCGGATCTTGCGGTGCTTGGTGACGTTGTCGGTATGTCCTTTGAGGCACTTGATGAGAAAGGCCGTCTGTTCCGCATCGTTCTCATGTTGGAGCTGCCTCCTGGTCCCGTGCTTCCTCCTCTCCTCGTCTGCCTCTCGGTCGAGGTATGCGTTCAGGGAGAACCAATCGTCGTCCCAGTACGCCGACTGCTCTTCCATCTTCTCAACGGGGACTCCGAAGAGGCTAACAGGTCTCACATACGTCTTGCCATCCCCGCTCAGCTTGAAAATCTTGTCATAGGGCGTCGCCAGAAGCTCCGTGACTGCGTCGACATCCACCGCCTCGTCCGTCTCGCCATTTTGCAGGTACAATCTCTCGCTCATGATCTCGTCAATGTCTGCCATGATGTGCGTTGCGTCTTCTCTAGCCGTAGTCAGAGACCGGAAAGATAGTGTGTGAATGATGATGGTGATATGGTGTCGATGAGTTGAAAACATTAAGATGAACAGATGCTGGAGAGCGACGCTCCATTAAGTAGAGGCGCCCTTATTACTTGACGAATTAAGACAAATGGCAATGTCGTGTTTGACAAGCAGATCCCCGGGAGTCACAATCTTGAATGAATGGATTGCATTCACCTGTCCATCTGTCGCTAAGCATAACCGTATCCTACCATCAGCCTCCCAGATTCACCTGCTCACGCGCATAAGGAAAGTACATGGTCTTTGAAGCTATGGGTGATGCCGTGTTTTCTATCTTGCTAATCTGACGGTCAGAGACGGACACTGTTCTTTCTGTCACCGGGGAAGCATTGGCAGGCGTCTCTTTGTTGAACTGTCAACTGTTGATTGCTGGGTGGGTTTCAACAAAAAGTGAACAGGTATTACCACTTGAGATGGACACTGTTCCTGGTTCAGAAACAAGAAGTGTGACCTGACTGTCCGGACCAAATGTCTTTTCTCTGTGAAGTCTTGGCCGTCATTCTTTCCTGCAGGAAACAGAGCTATCTCATTGTACACAGAGCTCATAACAATTTACATGGTTCCAGGTAGCTGTAGTACATGCATCAACGTGTACCCTGACCCCCTTCCATCGGTTGTTCGCAACTTACGGAAAAGAAGATACAATGATTGAAGAAATTCTTGTTCATTCTGTACTAGTAGAAGAAGCAAATCCAACATCCCGTGACCTATTGCTCTCCCATTTCCCACTTCAGTCCCTCCCCTAATATTCTCCCTCTGTCTTGTAACTGAAGTCCTATAGCAAGGAGTCCGTAGCGTGTAGGTAAATAGGTCATTGATGAAAATCACAAGAGCATGATAACATACGCCGCAAGTAACTCCGGAAAGCAAAGACATTTTAAGATGCATGGGCTGAAGGTTTCTCGGCTTATCCACCTCCTGAACGTGTGCTTCCTAACGAGACACAAATATATATCAAAGATCGGCACACAAACCTAGACCTGCCTTCTTACTCTCTTCAACTAGCATCTTAACAATGGTTGGGTTGGTAAAATGGCCCTTACCGTGGGGTTCAAGACAATCTCTAGGCATCGGCGTCGGCGTTAGAGGGACTCAAAACCCGAATTCACGAAGGAGATCGTCAGCATCCTCAGCTGCATCCTGCCATTTGATAATGTTCTATGTATACTGGCGTGTCATCCAGCTGTACAAGGTCTCGGGAACCTTCTACCGACCTCCCTCGACGATCGGATAGGCCGCAGCCGTAGCGGCGGCCTCTTCGAGGAGCTTCTACGGCTTCTTCTGCCTCGGTCGGGACTTGGTAACGATGTTAGTCACTACGGTATCTATCCCGTCACCTGCGTAGTACAGTCCACTTCGTACGCCGATGCACGCATCCGGTATCCTGTCACTGTTGCATTTGGAGAACTCTTGGCCTTCGTCTGGGATCCTAGTCAGTCGCTGTCATCTCATACACATCGCGATTCGGTCGGCTAACCGTTTCGATCTCCACACGGCAGGGCAAAGTAGTCTTCGATGAGAAATTGCACGCAGCGCAGACATCTGTTTATGGTTTCATGCTATTACTGAGCCGGCATCAGGCATCCCCGTGTTCAACCAACGGGTGAATGCGCCTTCCTCCCCGGAGGCCGTTGCTGCGATTCCTTCCAGCGTCCATGGCTTTCTCAGCTTGACCTGCCACCACTGTTGTTGTATGTTATAATAGGGTCACAAGAAGGTAGGTGTAGAGGGAGATGCGGGTTCAAGCCAGTCTAGCTGGAGATCTCCATCCATCGTTGGGACATAGTGTGTCACCAAGAGTGTCCTCACGGGTCTTGTATCCTATTGCCCTTCGTCCGTCGTGTGTGCGCATGTGTCACAGACCTTTGATGTGGTGATACGGTAGGTAGTGCTAAAGGAAGACCAGTGCGGTCTTCCCCTATTAGTCTCTGCGAGATGAGTTCTGAAAAAAGAGGGGTAGCTTGTCGTGGGAATGATGAAGATATCAAAAGAGAGAAGAGGACGATGGAGTTGAAGTAGAAGAGGAGGAAAGGAAGAGCAAGGTGCGGAACCTCTAATGGACTTATACGCGATTCCCATGCTGTCGCAACGAACTCGCATTGGTATTCACTAGACACGAAGCGGTAGTACGAATGAACGAGCAAAAAGCATGGTGAATTTGCTATTCAATGAAAGCGAGATCTATCTATCTGACAAGTCTATCACCGTACTTTATGAACAGGAATGGAATGGCCCCCATGGCAAGGGCAACGAAGCCAAGGAGGGAGGGGGCCCAATGGATGCCCAGGTTGGAATACATGTGATGAGCCGCGAGGGGGAAGACGACGGCACCTATTGATCTCGTGGTGCTTGCGGCGGCATTGGCCGAAGCAGACTGGTCGCGAAAGGCGTCTGTGAGGTAGTTGACCATGCCCATGAAGACCATCTGAAAGCCCGCGCCGAAGAAGATGCCGTGAAGGGCGGGGACGATCGGAGGTATGTTGTGACTGGGTGTCCAGCCCAACCAGAAGAGGGAGATGACCATGCTTGTGTGAGAAGGATGTGATGTCAGCGTGGACCTCAGGGTAATCTCACTTTGTCCTTACCATGGAGAGGCAAAGCATGCCAGGGGTAGACGGCGGTAAATCTCCCGCTGTGCCCATTCCTTTCCAGCGGCCAGGGCCTTCAGATGCCACCGGTCATAGAGCTGGAACAGGAACAAGGATAGGATGACGCCACCGGCCACTGAGGAGCATAAAGACGTCAGTATCCCCTGCAAGGCACGAGCGAGATGATCACAATGACTTACTAGGCAGGTACATAAGGCCAGCAGGACCAGGTGCGAGACCATAGAATTCTGCAAACACGTCAGAGAGTTGCTGGACAACGACATGCTTGGTAAGAAGGGGTGGATAAGTCATACGCTGGAAAATGATGGGATACGCCTGGAACATGAGGTAGAAGAGGGAATAGACCAGAGTGAGGTAAAGAGAGGTGAAGAGGACGATGGGCTGCGTGAACATGAGGGTAAAGGGGCGGAGAAAGATCTTGCGGACGTTGAACGGATGAAGCTGGATGACCGTTTCATCCCGCCTCTTCCATTGTTGCCTCTTTGCCCACCTGTTATGCAGGACAGGGGCAAAGGTCTCCGGCAGGGAGAGGACCAGGGGCAGACCTGGAACAGCAATCAGGCCGGCGGCCCAAAACGGCCACCTCCACGACTTCTGGGAGGAGAAGCTGGAGATGATGGGGCCGACCAGGGGACCGATCGAGGTGACGGTCATGTACAGGGCGATGGCGGAGCCGCGATGGCTCGGATCGTCGAGGATGTCCGAGTAGAGGCCGCTGATGACAGTGGTCGGCGCCGCGGCGTTGATCCCACACAGGAGCCGGAAGATGACCAGGGCGGTGTAAGTCGGCGCTCCGGAGCAGGCGAGCATGAAGGTGAGGTAGCCGAGAAAGGTTCCAACGAGGACCGGCCTCCGCCCGACGTACTCACTCAGAGGGCCGAAGACCAGAGGGCCGAGGACGTAGCCGACCATGTATAGGGAGTTGAGCAGCGTCAGGTGGAGCTCGTTGGTGACATTGAAATGGTCCGAGATGGCGTCAAGGGCCCCCGAGGGCATGGAGGATCCCAGGTTACCGTTGAATGTACATGTGAAGCCTGCACAGATGATGTGTAGTTTGCGTGGCTGAACCACTCACGTGTCAGCAAATGTGCGTTGTGTCGCATCTAATCGAGAGACATGATCAGCATACCCATGAGAGCTTGGTGGGATCCCAGGACTTACTGTCCTGATCATCCCCCGTCTCTAGAGATATGGGAGTCTGAGTGCTACTCGATTCATCCTTCGATTCGCTAGTGTTCTGGGCGACGAGGACCTCGATCTGGGTCAGTGCCATGTCTCGCAGGTGGGAGCTGGAGAAGTTGGAAATGGAAGATGGAGATGAGAGCACCGTTGTTATTGAAAATTGTAATTGCTCCAAACAAGGAACTTGATATATGAATGTTGTCCAAGTAGTCAATGGAGGCTCAGGTAAGAGGAACGGTAATGGGCCCAGCCCATCCTTTTATTCAACATTATTCCTCTCATTCTTTCGGTGTGTACATCACTGGCGATAGAAAAGCTTCCCGCAATTGCAGTTGTTATACGTAATCGAAACTAATTCGATATGAAGCTTTGCACGATGTGAAGCAGTGCTGGCCAGATCCACCAGGTGGATGACGGGAGTTGACATGAGGCGAAGGAGTGAAGCGCCGTGATTGGCCATTTCCGCCGAGGCCATCGTCCTTCCCGACCGCAGCCTCTGTATCTGCAACTTCCGAGAGAGTCACGGCGGCCGTCGTTGGCTGAAGTTTCCGTTCCCATCTCACGAACTTGCATGTGCAATGCAATGCCCTCTCATTGATGTATACGACTTCTCCCACCTTCCGGGATTACACGTTACACGGTTGGGCAGGAATTTCCAATTCATTCTTCCATATCCCAAGTCCAGTCGACAATTGCCGGTCATAAGGCTCGACGGCAGGTTCGGAGCGGGCGGTATGGAGGATCAAACCCCAACAGGTCGGACCAAGAGGACAAGTACGCGATGAGGACTGTAGCCTGAACACATTAGCACCGTCCGTTATGAGCTGACAATGCCGATCAATTGTAGACAAAAGGGCGTGTATAGACTGTCATAGACGCAAGACCCGCTGCGATATTGTCGACAAGGGCGCACCCTGCACAAACTGTTCCAAACACAGCCGGCCAGGATGTCGCTTATACGAGAAGAAGACTAGGTCATACCACCGAGATGTCCAGCCTCGGGTGAACAGGGCTATTCGTCCCCGCGACATCAATCCGGTTGCTGCTGGAGCCAGCGGCACGCCGACCAGGTCACCGACGCCAGTCGCCAGAGAGGCGTCGGATCCCGGTAACCTGGCCGAGTTCATCGACCGTGAGGAATTGAGGACGGCAGCCATCAACCTCCGGGGCCGCATGTGCTTCATCGGCACGGGCGTCTCCAATTTCAACTACCTCGTGCGGCAGAGCTCGCTGAACCCCATCGACGAAGGCGCCGTCCACTTCGCCAACCGGCAATTTCACCCGGTGCACACGGCGCACGACCTTCGGAGCGTGCCTCCCTCGGCCCTGGAGCGCCTGGACACGGCTCTGGAGCGGAGGCTCCTAGGTGCGTACTTCGAACGCGTCAACCGTGGTTGGCCCATCGTCGACGAGCACCACTTCATGACGCAGTACGAGAGTAAGGACCCGGAGGACGGGCCGTCCCTCCCCCTGCTGAATGCCATCCTCATCGTAGGCGCGCACGCCCTGGGGTCAGAGGACGAGTCCCTCAAGGCGCTGCAGCCGGTGCTCTTTCGCCGCACAAAGACCCTTATCGATCGCCGCTTCGACCAGGACCGAACCGTCTATGTCCAGGCAGCGCTTCTGCTCACCTGGTACTCGGACGGTCTCGAAGAGCTCACGGCCAATGCCTGGCACTGGATCGGAATTGCGACTCGTATAGCACTGGGCCATGGTATACACAGGGATGTCACCAAGTCGAGAATGCTTCCTGTAAGCAAGCGGATCTGGACAAGGTTGTGGTGGGTTCTGGTACAGTTCGACACCATGGTGTCTGCGTCGTATGGTCGCATACCGGCGCTGTAAGCCCATCAGCCCATCACCTACCATCGCCGTCTGCGGGTACATGACGGCGACTACTCGAATGCTAACTCTGCCTTACTTCAGAGATATTGACGAGTCGGATGTCCCCGAGCTGGAGCGCTCGCACTTTGAGGGCATCCCGGATGCAGATGCCGACTTTGTGATCCAGCACTCGAAGCTCTGCTGCATCATCTCCAGGACCATGCGGAGACGCTGGTCCCTGCGCTCGACAGTGCAGAGCCAGGTCAAGGCCACGAGGGAGGCAGACGAGGCCCTGGCACTGTTCGTATCGCAGCTGCCCCCCGCGCTGCACCTTTCCAGGCCGGACATGAACGCATGGAAGGCAACGCTGCACCTCACCTACAACAACTTCCTCATTCTCCTGCACAGGCCCGCACCGCGGAACAACCCGACCAACGTGGTTTCCGACGCCGTCTCCAACGTGTGCAGCGACCTGTCCGTGTGCGGAGTCGCCGTCGTGGCCATGGCGTCCATATTCGACACGCTCCGCCACAGGGGCTTGCTTCTCAGGCTCTGGCTGTACGATATCCACGCCCTGTTCACGGCCATGATTCACGTCAGCTGCGAGCTCAAACTGCTCAACCCGCTGGTATCAGCCCGGGCCCAACAGACATTCGAGTCTCTCATGGCTTCACTCGTGGTGCTCGCGCGTCACTGGCGCTTCGCCCAAGGTCTACTGTGCCTGTTCCAGCAGCGAGTCCAGTGGTCCGCACCTAGGCGTGCGCTGATGACAGCGACGTGGCGGCAGCCGTCGGCGGAAAGTGCCCGCAACGACGTCCAAAATGTGACTCTTTCCCTGACCCCGAGTGACATACCAGCTTTACAGTCGGCCAAGGGGAAGGTATCGGGAGGGAACATCATGCAAGTCACTGGCATCCATGCGCATGATCAAACCGTACGGCATGGCGACGTGAATGGAACCCCGGCCACTTCGTCGTGGACGGTAGGCGATGATGGCTACATCGGCCGGGGTGTAGATTTTCCAACCCGCACTGACGAGAACAGCAACAAAGCTAGCAGAGACTATCTTGGCTACCCGCACGGGGCACAGTACGCAGACGGAGATGGGTTTCTCGCGGAGCTCCCGTCACCGGATGGTTCGGCTCTTGACTTTTTGCTGGGGGACCTTGGAGGGAGTGACCAATGGTTTGGCCTGTAGAAAACGGATATAGTCCCGGTTCATGATAGCCTTTCGTCTTCCGAATAAGCCATCATCCCAAGTTCTGGAGTGACAGAGTCTCACCTGTTCTTTCCGCGACTGACACTTTTAGTTGCGGTTAACTCAGTGGGTTTGGTGGCTGCAGTCCTCCGATAGCCTTGGCGTTGATGTGAAAGCCCTTGCGTCTCCTTGGACAAAGCGGGCGTGATGCTTTCTCAATATGCGTACGAGTAGAGCCCGATGCCACTTCTGCGACGGTATTGGCTCCTAGCAAGCTTTGGGCTTTCTGGTGTGTATGTTGGCTTTCTTCCACTCTTAGCAAATATCGGAATTGGACGAAGATGGAACTGAAGCCTACATGCAGCGTGGGTAGTGGTCTAACGTTGTATAATATGCAATACTGTATGTATACTCTATGGTGTCTATATGTGATGGTAAGTGTGAATGTAGTATGGAATGTAGATTGTAGATTATATTGTACGCCTTCTAGCTACCACTCATCATCTGACCACTTCCCAACTATGTACCATCGGGGCTCTCGACTCACGTGCCGGAGTCGCGGCCACATCAAAGCGCATACGGCGAGCTGGACGAGGATGCTTTCGACCCCTCCAGCGTTGGCGACGATGGTGCCCGTGGCGACATAGAGAACGAGAGTACGTTCGTGTACTCAGACTTTAGCGTCATACTTGGGTGCTCAAATTCAGGGTAAGATGCGTCGTACGAAGAATAGCTGGACGAGCTTGACGTACCATCATGGGCGTCAATATGACGGATTTTGAGCCATGCATTAAAGTCCGTACTGCACGATGGAGTACAAGCAGGAACTCCGCGCATATCTGTGCTCTAAGGCCGGAAAGTTGGACAAGAAAAGGCGTAGGATGTCATGGACTTCCTAAAAGAACCAAGTCAAGGAAGAGAGGAAATTCAGGAAAGCGAGGGATAGCGCGGAGAGAAGGAGAGTAGGTGAAGAGAATAAATGCCCCATGACAAGAAAAAGGGAAGTAGGGAAACGAAACAGGAAGAACACATGATTCTTATCATGGTCCGACAAATCAAGACGATTTTTTTTTTTTTTTTAAAACACAACGTCATATTCCACGGACGTAGGACCTGTCCGCAATAGACACCTTTCTTTGAACCCACCTTGTAACTCCTCCATTGGCACTGTACTTTTATCGACCCTCCCTTCTTCTTTTATTGTCTATTTCGTTTGTGTGTTCTCTCGCTTACTTCTCCGTCGCATGCCATGAAAAGACGTGCCCAATTACTGGAGCTTGGAAGCCCTATCCTTCGCAATATCGCACATGGCCTGTGTGACCATCAGCTTTAGCCATCAATCGTGATTATTGAGCATTGATCCATGGCAGGACTGTTCTTACCTGCAGCGCCGCATCCACCTCCTTTGTGAGATCAGATGTCGAAATCCTTGCCTTCATGTCCTCCATAATCTCTGGTCGCCCGCGGCCATTGACAAATGCGACGTATCGGAGGCCCGGAAATGTCTCCTCGTACTGGCGATTCAGTCGGGCAAGCTCTTCCTCTTGCTCCGGGTTCGTATTCTTCTGTATCTGAGCCTGCTCTGCAGCGGACTGAGCCGACTCAATCTTCTTCTCACCAAGGCGAGGGTGGGAGCCCAAAACAGACTGCAAAGTGGGATGGATCGATCCAACAGACGTCGATGCTGCCAGAGACAGGAGTCGGATCTGGCAGGCGTCAATGAGATCCGGCCATGACCTGTACTCAGCGGTGCGAATGACGGGAAGCAACGTGGCATGGATGGCTGGACTCGGCTCAAAGAGTGTGTCTAGAATATCGGTTTGTGTGAGGTCGGGACACGTGTGGAACTCGAGGATAGGCGGCAGCTTGGTGACAGGCATGGTGGTTGCGGTAATGGGTTTATCGACTTTGGTTCAATAAATCGTCAAATCGTTAGTCTTGTGCTGAGATGCTGCAATTTATCACCGGGCCATAAACCATACAAAATGAAAAAGACGTGTGAAAAAGAAGGCAATGAACAAGAGCCGGGCAGGAGCGACTTTAGTAGATTACTATAGAGTATCGATATGAGCGGGAAGGAGCGAACGATGATGCCGGAGGCTAGATGACCAGTGCGGCTAGGCTCAAGAGGCAGGCGCCACACTGTCACCTCCCCCCCACGGTAGAGTGGAGAGCTGACTCTTGGCACCCACCAGATAAACAAAGAGCTTTTCTTATCACCTCGTGACCTCCTAGCCTGGCTATATTTGGTCCGTGCGTTGACTGGCTGGTAAAATCTCCCCAAAAGTAGCCAGCCTCGTTGTCGACGGTAGACTACGTACTTGCTGCTCGTAAACACGCGACCGAGCGCGATCCTTGACCAATATACCCGTCGTTATGCTCTGTGGAAGTAAGTTCTTCGCCAATATTGTCAAACAATACTCTCACTATACATGGTGAGCACACTGCCATTGATAATCTATTGCTGACCATATTGCAGTTTCCGGGGAGGCCCCCCAAGAGCCCGTGGTATCGAAGAAGTCGGGTGCGTTTCCTCCCCCCCCCCCCCAACATCGTCATCCAATCTCCCCAGCCGCATTTCTGACACCCAGCAGGTGTCGTCTACGAGAAACGCCTGATTGAGCAGTACATAAATGAGAACGGAACTGAACCGGGCTCTAGCGATGAACTCTCTACGGAAGACCTGTTGCCGCTGCAGTCATCGCGTATCGTGCGCCCGCGTCCGCCTACCCTGACCTCGATCCCCGCCCTTCTTGCCACGTTCCAGAACGAATGGGACTCCCTCGCCCTCGAGACTTACAACTTGAAGGAGCAGCTGTCCCGGACGAGAGAGGAGCTTGCCACGGCGCTCTACCAGCACGATGCTGCCATTCGTGTCATCGCGCGACTGACCAAGGAGAGAGATGAGGCCCGTGAAGCGCTCGGGAAAGTTACGGTCACAGATAACGGTGCCAACGGGGATTCTATGGCTGTGGACACAGTGGAAGGCCTGCCCGAGGACTTTGCGACTGCTGTGGATGAGACGCACGCGAAGTGAGTATTGCCGTGATTGTATGTCGCATAACCAACGAACAGAAGGCTGATTGCATACAGACTCTCCCAAGGTCGCCGGAAGCGTCCTGTTCCTGAGGGCTGGGCCACAGCTGATGTTCTGTCTACGTTTGAGCCGCGAACGACAAACGCGCTCCCCGTTCCACAGGCTACATCGTTGGACACAAGGGGTACTACCGCTGCCATTGGTGGGCTCAAGGGCGACTTGGCCATGTACCTGTTTGACTCGGACAAGCTGGGCCAGCAACTGTCGGTCGGAGAGCCGGTCACTGCTTCTCTCACGACAGAGATCGGTGTCGTCTGCGCCACGGCCCAGGGCTCCGTCAAGGTCTACCAGGGAGACTCGCTGACCGCTGAAGCTTCGGAGCATGCTGGCCCCGCGACCGGCCTCAGCCTCCACCCTGCCGGCCAGATCCTGGCTTCGGTCGGGTCGGATAAGTCAATCGTTTTCTACGACCTTGCATCTACGAAGCGCATTAGCCGTGCCTACACGGACTCGCGTAAGTCCATCACTAAGATAAGTATGATGCTGTTTAAGGATGTTGTATACTGACCGCTCATAGCACTGACTACGTGCGCGTTCCACCCAGATGGCCATCTTGTTGGCGCAGGTAGCGTGTCCGGCAAGATCAAGCTCTTTATGACCAAGACGCTTGAGCAGGCGGCCGAATTCGACATTGGCGCCCCGGTTCAAGCCTTGGTCTTCTCCGAGAATGGTTTCTGGCTGGCAGCGACGGCTAAGGGCCAGACGACGGTGACGGTCTTTGACCTGCGCAAGGAGGGTGCTGCAGCGACAGCCAAGATCCTCGAAACGGGTGGTGCTGTGCAGTCGTTGTCCTGGGACTACACAGGCCAGTTCCTTGCCACCGGAGGCCCCTCGGGTGCCACGGTGCAGCAGTACGCCAAGTCTAGCAAGAAGTGGAGCGAGCCTTTCCGCAGCTCTGTACCGGCCGTGGCAATAAGCTGGGGTCCATCTGCGCAAAAGCTGGTGTCTGTGAATGGGGAGGGAGTTGTGACAGTCTTTGGCGTTAAGGAGTAAGGGCAGGACTGGCTCTGATTTATACTGTTTTTACTTTCCTCCGATTGCTTACATGGGGTGTACCATTATTTCGAATAAAAAATATAGTTAACAATGAGGGAAAAATTACATGAATGGCAACAACAAGCTGAAGATTGACATATATGTACACCCGCGCACTTGACATCGATGCGTAGCCGGCTGAGCTGCAGCCCAGCACCTTCAGGGCTGTTGGTCATGCCTTGCGAGTTAAGTCACATAGTACATATTGAAATTCCCTATTTGTAAGAGGACTCTCGTCCCCGTGGATGGAGTATATTACCACACAGTAATCCGTACCACTATTATCTACTGTAGAATGATCCTGCTGACTAAAAAAAAAGAGATTTTGCGCTCGCCTGGATTTGACGCCGCGCTTACCGCCTTCACGCTCTTTGTTCGGCGGCGGCAAGGTTCCGGTGATTAATATGCCTGGCTTCTGCCGTTTTTGGTGGGGTCCTGGGTACACTCCTCTTCTCGGTGCTATCTAAACTTCAAACTCTACATCATCTCTTTGTGCTTTTTGTCGTCCTTTGCACGCCCGACTTCATCCCCCCCCTCCCCAAGCAACGATATATTCTCCTCCTCCAGCTCAACCATTTTTTTTTTTCGACTGGTGCTCAAATCCGGCGCAATCACCCACCAAGACTTCGCATACGACCAAACAGCTGCTGCTTCGTACTTAACCCCGGGCCGGTCCCGGTGGGAAGGGGTCACCATTCACTAACACCACCTTGCTCAGCACACAAAGGGGAAGAGGCCAGCATAGAACAAATGGATCTGGACGACGAGGATTCTCTCTTTGTCACGGACTCAGAGGTTATCGAGGTCGGCTTATCGTCGTCGCCGCCGCGTCCGTCTAACAGTGCGGCGGCTACGGGCGGTAGCCAACAACAACGCGGCCTGATACCACCGGAGCATCTCCCTGGCGCTATAGACCTGAGCGGCGAAGGGACTCCTCTAGACTTTCAGACACCGAACACCCGACGGCCACATCACCACCACCATCACCACCACCACCATCGCCACACTCAGCCGCGACGTCACCATCACCATCATCACCACCACCACCATCCTCGCCCGAGACAGCTGGTCCGCGCTGTTATCGACCTGACGGGGGAGTCGACATCGGCACTTTCCGAGGTCGACGCATCTCTGCAGATGCAGACCAGCCAGATTGGGAGAAACCCCAGGAGGACCATGTCGCAAAGAGTCACCCCGCCGTCATTGTCCAGGAGTGATGGTACCCTATCTCGGCCCACCGCACCGGCAGATGTTATTGACCTCACTGGAGATTCTCCCGAGCATGATACGTCGTTATTGTCCCACAGCCTCCGCCCGCGGCAGCAGCCCTACAACCCAAACCGCCGCGCGCTGCACGGCTACCACGGCAGCGCCGACTCTCTCTTCAGCGTCGGCTTTGGCGCATCCGGATCACAGTTCACCGACATGCGCGGCATCAGGCAGACGCTTGCCGGCCTATTCAACAGCGACATCATCAGCTTTGGCTTTAACAGACCGACATACACCCCTCCTCGCCCCGAGCCCGAGAGGCAGAGCCCCAAGCCACCTATGGAGCCGACACTGCCGACCCGCGAGGGCTTCACCAGGAACACATGTGCCGAGCCTGCAGAGGATTTGGTCGTCGTCTGCCCCTGCTGCGACGAAGAGCTCGCTTATGACGCCTCCGGCAATAATGCACCTGCCAAAGACAAGAAACGCAAACGTGCAGTGGGTGAACACCATTACTGGGCACTCAAAAAATGTGGCCATGTACGTCATAACCTCCCCTTTCCTCTCGTGCATATCCCTCTCATAAATAAGAACTCTATGCACAAAGTCTTTGATAAATTAATTCAAGCTAACCAATTAACCAACAAAAAAAACAGGTCTACTGCTCCGAATGTTTCGAGAATCGCCGACCGACAAAGACACACCCTGATGGTGTCGGCTTTCCCGCCCCTGATGGCAAGGTGCCCTACCACGCAATTAACGAGCTGCGCTGCGCTGTTGAAGGATGTGACACAAAAATTGCCCAAAAGGGTGAATGGGTGGGTATTTTTGCCTAAAAAAAAGCCTCGACGACTGGTCAAAACACGAGAAGAAATGAACGAGGCATCGTTGGGTATTAGCATTGGCATTAGAATTGGCATTAGTGAAATTAGGGATTGAAAGGGATAATTGTATGCGACTATTAGCACGATATAGGTAAATGTTCTACAGAAGGAAAAGACTCGCATGGAGTTGATTCATTTTTGTATAGAGCTTATTCATTATTAATATTTCATGAGTCTGCGTGCTGCGCGTTGGGTATCCTAAAAAAAAAGCTTGTCTTTTCCCCCTTCTTTTTCATAATCCGTTGTGCCCTTAAGATAATCTGGGATTGTCGCTTCCAGCCAGGAGTACACCATCGTCGATGGTAAAATCGCATGCCAACTCGTCTATCCAGAGGCCGCCGTACTCTGATTCTTGTGAGGCCGGCGGCCCATCCATATTGGACAAGCGAGGATTGTCGTTCTCTTTGTCATCGAGACTTGGTCCTTGAGGTGGCGTTGTCTTGACAGACTTTGCGGCCAGTGGTGGACTGTCGCGAGAACGGTTGGGACCTGCGCTATACGCGGGTGGAACGCGTGATGCAAGTCTGGTCGGGGGAGGTGCCATGGTAGCAGCGACGGGCATGTGCTGCTGCGGGCGGGTGTTCTGCAGTGGGGGCCTAGTCGAGGTTTCCGCGTCGCAACGCCACCGCTCAAATTGGCGGATGTCGTCCAAAGCAGCGGACCGCTTGCTCCGTTGAACGGCGAGCGACAGGAGCTGGTTCGATCCCGAGGCGCTGAAAAAACGCTTCTGCGATATACCCGCGGCTGCAGCACCCCCTGTGCCGTAGCTGGTTGCCGGACAGGGAGATGGCTGTGTGGTCCTTGGTGGAACGTCCCCTTCGAGCTCGCGTTCCTGTTGAGAGGGAGTCGGGAAGTAGTCGTCACATTTAAGGAGACATGCCTGTGTGCTGAGCGGGGGTGGTTGCTGCCGACGCTGTGGCGATAAAGCGCTATTGTCATCGGCATCGAACACGGACTCAAGAATGCTTCTAGTAGTAGCAATAGCGACAGATGCCGTCTCTGTTGATTGTCTTTTATGAGGCTGTGGTGTCATTAATTGGCAAAGAGTGTCGTCATCCAGGCTGCCTTCCGTGAAGCTTGAAAATCCCTTCTTGGGAGTGGCTGGTTCGCGGGTAGGTGATTGTGGGACTTTCGGCGGCGGCAGAGGAGTTGTGGACTCTTGGGTGCTGGTCGCAGAATGCGTGCCAAGTAGAGCATCTAGATCGTCTTCTAACATCCCGTCGAAAAAGTCGTCTTGATCTCCGTCATCTGATGCAAGCGCCTGGGAGTTTTGGGAGTGTGCCGAAGACTTCTTGTCATCGATGGGTCTGTTTGGTTCCTCGGTCGCCCTCGCGCACAACTCTCCCTTTCCGAGGCTTGGTTCTGCAGTCAAGAATGGATTGTCGTCGTCGTCGTCAGGCCCAATATCAAGCCGTGGACGTTTTGAAGGGATAAAGTTGTCGTTGTCAAGGTCGTCATTCTGTTCGTCATCATAAGGGCTGCCGGCTGCGATGGGATGCTCCAGTGCCATTCCTCTTCCTTCATTCTCCTGCTCGACTGCTACACGTTCTCTCGGCAAGCTTGCCTTCTTGATTTCCTTTTTAACCATTGAGGTTTCTCCGTGAATGATGTCATATTCATCGTCGTCCGCAAAGGCTGGACTCCCGGCGTCGGCTGTTTCCTGACAGACGAGCTCCGGGGGCATCGATTCCCGGTCCGACGTGATCTCTGGGATGGTGTCCATCGCAGCGGCATCGACATCCCCACCTTTGTCGTCTCGTTTCCGACCGAACATATTTCCGCGGAAAAGAAATTTCGATATCGTATCTTGGCTTGGACGAACGTCAACAAGAGGCTTGCCACTCTTCCGCCTGGCCTCGCGTTGTGCTTCTTCCTTGGCTTTCTTGCGGTCCCTAGCCGCTCGTGCTCGGGCTGCCATCCGCTCCTTCTCATATTCTTTACGTATTCGTTCTTGTTCAGCCAGTTCCATCTTACGCGCCTCTGCGCGGGACATACGCGGCTGCTTGGTCGATTCCCTGTACGCCTTCTTGATTTGCTTGGACGTCATCGGCCGCGTTGGCACCCCGCCAGGAATGACGGGACGCTGGGGGATGAGCGTAAAAGTGCTTTGGACGGGAGGCATCGTTGCGGTCTTGCACGCCTTGATAGAGGCGGCATGGAGGGTGGTTTTTGATGCGGAAATGGCTAACAAACTGGCCTGCCTAGGTTTGAGGTGATCGTACGGGCTAAACTTGCAGGTATAACGCGGGGCTGAGAGTTGTCGATTTTGGACATGCAAACAGCCGAGACGCGTTTGAGGAGCGGGATCACATGACCAGACTCAATTCTGTGCTACGGTCACACTACCTGAAAACACCAGGGTAACATGACCATGACGTCTTCGGAAATAACATAAACTTGCAAAGATGAGATTGTAATATTGATGCTGCTTAATTCTAAGGATGGTCCCATTCACTGGGCAGTACCAACACACTCCCATGTCTATCGTATCCACATGAACTCTTTCGCTATGTGCTGCGCGATGCGCTATTTATAGGTAGCAGTGGTCGTACGAGTATTGTTTACTCGTACTTATTTCTCGAGGGGCTCAATAGTGGGGTCCCATGAGCAGACGTCATAGTTCTTGGTGGCCAGAGCGGCGACATCGGCGTCGGAGAGCTCAAAGTCGAAGACGGCGGCATTCTCCTCAATACGCGAAGGGGTGACGCTCTTGACGAGGGGCACGTAGCCCCGCTGGATGCTCCATCGTAGGAGGATCTGTGCGGGGGTCTTGGCGTACTTGTTGGCCAGCTCGACGACGCTGGGCTCGTCGAGGCGCTGGCCACGGACAATGGGGCAGTAGGCCTCAACGACGATGTTACGGTCGCGGCACCACTTGACGATGTCGTCACGCACTAGCCACGGGTGGATCTCCCACTGGCCGACGGAGATGACGCCGCCCTTGCCGACGCCGCGCTCGGCTTCGAGCTCCTTGATGTAGGCTTCGAGCTCGTCGAGGTGGTGTACACCGTAGTTTGAAACGCCGATGGACCTGATCTTGCCAGCGTCGACAGAGTCGACGAGGGCGCGCCAGGCGTCCTTGCGACCCTGGGGCCCAGCGCCGTGCGGCCAGTGGATCAGCACCAGGTCTAGGTACGTCAGCTTGGTGTCGGCGAGCGCCTTGTCCACCAGGTTCTTGGTGCTCTCGTAGCCCTGGTCCTCGTCAAACGAAGGGACCTTTGTGGTGAAGAAGATGGACTCGCGCGGGACACCCGAGCCCGGAATGGCGGCCGCTGACTCGCCCTGGTTGGAGTAGGCAGAGGCCGAGTCAATCTGTTCCAAGTTATTGTCAGCATCAGAAACGCAGCGGAAGGAAGACAGAGAGAATGCCTGGCAACATACGTGGCGGTAGCCAACCGAGAGCGCGTGAGAGCACGCCTTAGTCGCCTCCTCCTTGGGCCTGGTCCACTGTTAGTCATGGTCCTCATTGCGAAGGCAAGCATTGATATGCTGCGGGATTAATACGTCTTGTAAACCTATATGTTCTCTTGAGTCAGTCATGGCGTCGTCCATAGATGAGGGATATTCTCACTTACGCCGAAGCCCAGTACGGGGATGCTATAGCCCGAGTTGAGCTTGATGGTAGACGAGATAGAGAGCTTGGAGGCCATCTTGTAAGATATATCGCTGGGTTTGTTAGTAGGGTAATGGATGCTGTGCGGCAGATAAAATAGTTTAAGGTGGAAAAGACTACGACCTATATATACACATTCTTGGTCATGTACCATCTGCAGCTTTGTAATGACGACCCGTACTCCGTCGTACTCCGTAGAGCTCTGCGCTATTACGTGCGGGGACACTATTATCACCACAGAGGAGCACAGCAAGCCTTGAATATCTGAGCCAGAATATCGTGAACCAGCCACGTCTTTATACACTTGCGGATTTGTCAGGAAATGCCATCCATTGAGCATTTTTGCGTTTTCTCTTGTTTTCACTTCTGTCTTACAAGTATAACTCCTCTATTTACGGTGTCGTGCGTCTGGGTAGGGCATCCCCGCGATGGTGGATCTTGACATTCTAATACGTCGGTTTTACGACTTATTTCCGCAATGGGTAACTAGTCCGCAATTCTGGATGCCAAACTTCGTAGTCGTCCAACTAAACTGCGTTGTATATTATATTTCCGTCTATATTCATATATACATGTCCAATCGGTGTACATAGCTGCGTCAACTCTCGAAGCAGGACGGCTGTGGAGACTGCAACGTAAGAGGGGCTCGCTCTAGCAGGTGAAATAACAATACATGGCTGCTTCTTAATATTCATTTGTTCATATTATGCCATTCATCAGATCTGTGTCGTCGTCAACGTGTCTCATCCTACTTTCTGGTGGTGGTTGACCCTCCTCCCCTTCCTCTCCCTCAACATCCTCTTCCTCGTCTTCGTCATCATCAAGGTCTAAAAGTGGATATGTGAGTATGGCGGCAATATCACCAAGCATGTGTAGACGCTGGCCGCTGCCGTGGTCACTACTCAGAACGCGCACCTCGCCGCCAGCTGCTTTGACCCTGTCTACCAAGGCCACATATTTTTTCCGTACGGCAAGGTCTTCACTGCGGAATAAAGAGTTGTTGATGAGAAGAGAGCCACCACCAGGGCCGACGGCGCCCTCGTTGATTGCCTTCTCGACAGCAGCAGACCCGTACCAAGCACGGCCGTCATCGAACTTGAGCTTTTCGAAGAAAGTGTCCATGAGTTGTGCCTCCTTGGCATACCGCACATCCTTCATCTTGACCAAGACCTCGGGGCTCTTGAGGACGGCATTGAGGCTGTGGACGTGGCCCGAGGCGGCGTGCACGACGGTCGCCATGCTGGCCACAGCCATCAGCACCTTGTCCGACTTGTCGCGACCCTTGTCGGAAATGTATTTCTTGAAGTCGGCGGCAACGAAACCGGGACTAGCTAGTAGGAGCGGACGTGATTGTGTAAAGTCGGCGGTACGGAGGAGCGACGAAAGAGTCTTGTCGAAGAAGCTGCGCATGCCTGCGTCCTGGCGGGAGGCGGCGTCGCGCTTGCGTGGGATGGGGACCTCTATGCGGGACTTGAGGACGGTGCGGAAGTCGGTAACGAGGCAGATGTTGGCCAGGCCTTCCTGCATGACGACGGCGGCGACGGCCCCGTTCTTGTCGTCAGACAGAGCCTGGCGCAGCGTGTCGGAGGCGACCGAGTCCCAACCGTCCGGCTCAGGCTTGATGATAGAAAAGGATCGGTGCGGCTCGAACTCGATGGAATGGTGGGCGCCCAAGTTGGCAACTTCGTTCTCGGATACGATAGCACCGCTCACTCGGAGGATGCACGTTTTTGTATCGAAAGATGTATTCTTGACCTTGATGGCCAGGTCCACGCGCACACGCTCGCCGCCGCCGCTGACGCCCGTTTCGGCATTCTCGAGCGCGACTTTTCGGGTGGTCGAGCCGTGGACGATGTCGCCGGTTGCAATGAGGTTGTAGATATGCCACTATAGAAAGTAACGTTCTGGTGAGCCTTTATCGACGCTGTCGGTTTCTTTTTGGCGATGCGACAAATTGCGAATCACAAAGAGCGGGGGCGGGGTCCAGCTATGACGCACCATGTCCTCAGGGTCTTCTGGTAGTAGAGAGACGGCTTGTCCCTCGACGTCGGGAGGGATCTTGCGCTTGGCCAACTTCATCTTGGCAGATGTTTTGCCAATCGGCAGAACGAATAATATGTTGCGCGTGTGTTGTTACGGAGATGGTGCTTTGTGTGTGTGTGTGTGTGTGTGTGTGTGTGTGTGTTTCCGTATTCGGGCTGCAATATTGACTGAAGCTGACGTCGCTGCCTTGCCCCACACAACGATTGCAAACTTACTGGTGACAGTACCAGTGCGACGTAACAGGGACGTGTGATGTTGTATTTGGTAGCTCTTGCAGATGAAGGTTCTAGACTTTGATGTTTTTTACTTTATAGTATAGGAACTATTGTATTTTCTTAGATTCATCTTTGTTCTTTTAAACTGTCAACCTTGTTTATGACACTGGTTTATCACTCCATGGAACCCTTCTCCCCGACACGTGCGTGTTCCCTCCAGAGCGGCGGAACTTAAGTACTAGTAGCGAGATGAAGACCAATGCTGAAGGAGCAGTATGAAATTAAACAGGACCTACATGGTTATCCTACAGTTATAGTGTCAGAAGACGTCATGAACTGACCAAGTCGCCGAGTGTTGCAAGGCTCGCAAGACCGCAGGTGGTTGTGCAGTCATGATCTACAAACACACCAAAAGAGCTGATAGGCGTGCATACGCGATAACAGCCGAGGTAGTCGATGACGCTTCGACTTACTTGCTTTTGCTTCAAATTCTATTGAATATTCAAGGAATGATTAGCCTCACACCCGCACTCATTTCTTGGCGGATTGGACTGCAATTGAAATTGAAAATACAAGGAAACCGATAACTTGCGATCGCTATCTATAGCTGACACTAGTGCCCTCGACTCTGCTAATAGACGGATGAAGGTACGCCTGTTGCACTTGCTGTTCCTTTGATGTAATATACAACGTCATCGCAACGTTTCGCCTCTTCTCATCTTTAGCGGTATAGGTCAAAATTACATCAGGTCCCGTCAGCCCAGGTTAGCCCCTACCGTTACCCCCCTGTCCCCCTGTTTCGTCCTACCTTGCCTTGATGTTAATAACCTCACATTTTTAGCCTTCGATGTTTCGGCTCGTCGCCTTATAGCGTTTATTAATACGGCCTAGAAGAGGGGGTTTCACCATTTGCCGTATGGAGTACGAGTACGAGAAGATTGCAGCGTCGAGTTGCGAACATATCCGAGATTCTATGCGTAGTAACTTGTAATAATAAGTGGGACGTGGCACGGATTATCTGATTTGCTGCTGTCTGCACGGCTAACCCGAGCTTTCACATTCGCACAGCATCCATCGGATTCGTACTGCAACCCGCGACCCACTTGAACCAAAGACGCGACTACCCAGGCCAGAGTTCTACCACTACCAGTTTTGCTAGCATTGCCGACTTACTATTACTCCGTACTGCAAAACTCTACCACCACAAAAATCCTCGAGAAGCAGACCAAAACCACCAAGAGACCACCTGGCCAATAACTCTTAACCCCTTCGTCATTGCCGTGGCGCAGAATGGGATATGCCCCCTTCGCCGCCTGCCAACCTTGCAGGCGACGGCGATATGACGGATTCCAAGAGCCACTCAGCTCAGGGCGCCGTCATCCCAGGCGCACAGCCGGAACCCCAGCAGTCTCCTTCACCTGACGGAGCAGGTATGTCTAGCCGTCGTATTCCGGCTCTTGTCTTGTGACTGGAGGCGTCGATACCTCGGGGCCTCATTGACCTATATCCGCCCCTCTTATCTCCAACCTCTGACCTCTGATCTCTGTACTAGACACCCGTCCTAGCCCTGATGCGCCAACGCCTGCCCTTGCGCGACTAACACGCACCAGCACACAGCTCTCCGTCAAAGACAAGGAGTCAAAGGTCCAGCTTCGTCCGACCCCTTCCAACCATTCTGCCAGCGTTGGTCTCGACCCGCTGAGTACAGTAAGCACACTGGCCCTATCTCGTGCCTGCTGCTTGTCTCATTCTGACCGGCAAATCTAGCAAATATATCTCCGCACCAATAACAACACCGAGCACACTCCCAGCATCGCACAACGACTACGCAGCTCTGGCCGTCCTGAAGGCACAAATGCCGAGGGCCCGGGATCTCAAGCGGCTGACACGTCGACCAGGCCGCCACAGAACCGCGTTGTAGATGCGACTAGAGAATGGAGGTAAGGATCACCTCGATAGACTTGTGTGCACAGAGGGCACCGCGAGCTCCCGCTAACTGTCCGTGTACAGAAGGGGATCTTCCTTCCTGAGCCGATTAAGTATGCGACCACCCTGGGCCAGAGACGATGACGACCCCGACTCGGACTCGGAGATGGGCGAACCCCGTGAGAACGGCACTAGCGCCCGTGCCTTTACATCCTTCATTGGTGACGGAGGTGGCTACATACCGTCGTTCAAGGACCCGCCCAGATACATCCATGTAAAGACTCGCAACAAAAAGACTAAAGAGTTCAACCGCATGTTCCTGGCTCAGGAGCTGACGGTGGGCAACTCCGATGACGAAGGGGAGTCGCAAGGGCGGGCTCCTGCCACTGCCATCGGCAAGAAAATCCTCAAGGGGTCGTCTGCCGCCATCTGGACTGCCGAATTCAGCCTCGATGGCAGGTACCTGGCCATAGGGGGCAAGGACAATATGGTTCGGATATATGCCGTCATATCGACACATGAGGACCGTAGGGCCCAGGAGGAAGACGAGGAGTTGAACCATGCCGGCAGCGAGAAGCTCAGCGCGCCCGTCTTCCGGGATAAGCCGGTACACGAATTTACGGGGCACACGGGTGAGGTACTGGCTCTCAGCTGGAGCAAGAACGGATTCCTGCTGTCGTCGTCCATGGACAAGACCGTCAAACTGTGGCACCCGCAGCGCCCTGAGTGCCTGGCCACCTTTGTGCACAATGATCTCGTCACATCCATCGCCTTTCACCCTACAGACGACCGCTTTTTCTTGGCAGGCTCCCTGGATGCCCAACTCCGCCTGTGGAGCATCACTGAGAAGTCTGTCCCCTACTCGGCTGAGACGTCCGAGTTCATCACTGCCGTGGGGTTCACGCCCGATGGAAAGACGGCAATTTGCGGCTCCCTCAGTGGAATGTGCACATTCTACAACACGGAAGGCCTCGAAGCCCAGTACCAGATCCACGTGCGCTCGTCCAGGGGCAAGAATGCCAAGGGAAGCAAAATCACGGGTATTCAGACGATCCAGGTACAGCACGGCAGCGACAAAGGCGATGTCAAGGTGCTCATCAGCTCCAACGATTCGCGCGTGCGCATATACAACATGAGGACACGAATGTTGGAGAACAAATTTCGTGGACATGTCAACCAGTCCAGCCAGATACACGCTCGGTTCAGCGAGGGCGGTGAATATGTCGTGTGTGGGAGCGAAGACCGCAAGGCATACATCTGGAGCCCCGACAACACCGATGCCGAGGCGAGGGACAAGCGGCCCTACGAGTACTTTGACGCCCACCCTGAGGTGGTGACCGTTGTGGTCATGGCACCTATCAAGAGCAGGCAACTCCTAAGTGGCTCTGGGGATCCAATTTACGATCTCTGCAATCCGCCGCCGGTCATGTTGGTGAGCTTGGACGAGAACCAGGTCAACACCTCAGACGCGGGTAGGAGTGAGCTCAGTAAACACGGCATCAGCGGCAAGAAGCCCGAGGAAAGTCCGGCGTATATTGAACGAAGCAAGCACCTCGACGGCAACATCATCGTAACGGCAGACCGCACAGGCACCATCAAGGTATTCCGCCAAGACTGCGGATTTAACAAGCGACAGCAGCACATGTGGGAGACCGGCTCCAAACTCTCCGGCAAGCTGGCGGCCGGAGTTGGGCGCAGCTCCAGCATCAGGACGAGGACCAGCCGAAACAGCCGTGTGCAGTCACGGCGAGAATCGCTCAACATCAGTCAGAGCCCCATGCTTCCGCAGATGGCATCTGACAGGATTATGAGCTGGCGTCAGGACGTGGACGGAGGGTTCAGACCCAGCAGAAACGCGACGCCCACCCGCAGTGAGCGATCGGCATCCCCAACCAAAGCAGCTCAGACGTCGACCAATACGTCGGCGGTGCATCTGGCGCGGGACTCGGTAAACAGCCCGCACAGCACACCTCCTAGCAAGAAGAGTCCCCACACAAGCCCGAGGAGCAGCACCCACACCAACCGGACAGGAAGAGGTGTGCTGCCAGATAAGGGCCGAATGTCTCCTCCGCTGCCGAGCTTCAATTTCCTCAGTATATCCGACCCAAAGGATGGCAAAAGCGAGAGCGGAATTTAGGGTCTGAAACGGCGCAAGGGCGCACGTGGCAGAAAAGCAACGCCAGATCTCCCCAGTCCCGAGGAGCTGACGACCGACAGCCCGGGCCGTCGCAGCATGGGCTCCAACGCCCCGGAAAGGCAGGTATCGATCGAGATGAGGGGCAGAGGACGCAGGATATCGCCTAAAAGGTGAATGCCGCCTGCGATGCAGAAGACGGAATTAGAGGACGGCCATGTCGACTCTAGCATCGGATGAGAAGGGTTTACCAGCCATGGCGCTAGATTCTGCTTTCTATTTTTTTTTCCATGTTTGTTTTTCGTCCTACTCTGCCAGTTCCATCATGGATATATTGATGGCTTTTCACATATCATCAGCGGGCGTTTTGTTCACAAATAACGGCATGTTTGACTGCATTACTGGCTATGCTTGAGCGTTGACCAGAAAGGCCGGAAACACAAATATCGAACCTTTACCTTTGTTTACTCTTATAAATATCGGAGACTACCAAGCTAAAGATGAGACCTTTCCCTTTTTGTTTTTTTGATTTCGTCATTTGCTTTGGTTTTGCAAGATTTTGTACCTAAGAGGGGGGGGGAGAGGGGGTTTGGGCACATGGAAAAGCTGGGAAAGAAAACCACGACATGAAAAACAAGCATTTCTCAGCTACCTATTGCTACTTTTTCCCAATCCATAAGACATATGCAATGCTGAACAAACAAGATTTGCCAAGACGAGGTATTTCTACATAGAAAGCCGAGACGACGAGAGGGGGGAAACCTCAAGGTAAGTAGTTAGGATAGCCAAGTTGAGGCGACGAGGGCGAAGCGCAATGAAGGCGAGAGGCCCTATCGTATCGTATCGTGTATCGTATATCGTCTGAGATGGCTCAGGCCGAGGCGGGGGTAGTCGTAGCGGCTTCCGTCATCTTTTCAATGCTGGTCTTGAGGGCGCTGGGGTTGGCACCGACGAGGGACTCCGACTTGACACCCCCGTCGAAGAAGAAGAAGGCGGGTATGGAGCGGATGCCAAGTTCACTGGCCAGGTCGGGGACCTCGTCAGTGTCGAAGCGGGCAAAGGCCAGGTTATCGCCGGTCGAGACGGCGAGGGCGTCTCCAGTCTGCTTGTTGAAGATGGGGATCATGGCCCTACAGGGGGCGCACCAGCTGGCGTGAGCTTGGAGGGCAACGTGGGCGTGCTTCTGGGTAAGGGCGTCGAAGTCGGCCTTTGATGTAATGTTTGTAACGTGGGCCATGGTGTTTTTCCTTCTTTCTACCTTGTTTTTGTTGCTTTTATTTCCTTACTTTTTTATTATTTTTTTTGGAAGATATATAAAGATATTGACTGTGAAAATAGGAGAAAGGGAATAAGCAGAATAACGTATAATACGTACAAGATTGCTATTTCCAAGCGAGGGGTTGGCGGGAGCGATGGTCCGTTATGGTGGGACGCGGGGCAGAATCCCCGCTTTTGCTGATGACAGAAGAGAGTACGGAGGAAGCTTTCAAAAGTTATCGGCCGTCAAGGCAGTAGCCACCCCTAAGCAAGGAAAGCAGGTTTGAAGCCCCGCACATACAAATTACCTGGAAAGGGGTTTTCTTAAGCTTCTTTTCAATTTCTAACCTTCCTATCAATGGCCCCGAATACAGATATCGCGACCCGGGCCTTGGTGGTTTCCCTCAAGTCCCCCTGCGGGGGGAAGACTACTGCTAGAGTGATCGAGATCACAGGGCTCTCAAAGAGCACAATCAATGATACCTACGCCCGAGAGATTGCCCGAGGGTTTGACCCTAATCATCGACCTCTTATTATTCGAAATTCCTTCCTTGAAGATGCCCCCCGGCCCGGCCGCCCGACGAAGCAGACAGAAGAAGCAAAGAAGGCAGTTATCGCGAAGGTACGCCATGACCGATACGGCTGGGAAAAAAACCTGCGCTGATGTTGCTAGGGACCTTAGCTTAGAAGGCCACAACCTCTTAGCTATTACAGTCTAGAGAATCCTCAAGGCTGCCGGCTTCCAGAAGACCAAGCCGACGAGGAAGTCTGGGTTGATGAAGAAGATGAGGCAAGAACGTCATAAATGGTTGTATTGCCCATCAAGATTGGACCCTTAAAGATTAGAAGAATGTCATTTGGTGTCATAGAAAATGTATACATAGCTTAGGTAAGCGGGACTCGACTATAAAACAGTCAAGTCTATCGCTTTAATTATAATAGACAAGAACCTGACACCACACAACACCTTACCTGCCTCTTGATGCATGTGGGCGTGTTAGTGGTGTGTTCTCACACACGCTACTACGCGTGTTAACGTACAAACGGTTAATTCTCTGGAAATAACAAACGCTTCTCGAGAGAAGTCTTGCACGTGTCGGATCACACTCTTCATCTATAAGATCCGACACCGTCCTTGTCGAATCCAGCAACTAAGGACATCTCTACTTCTCAGGTCACCCCCAAAGACCAGAAAAAGTATGACGTTTGGTTAGATGAAACCTCTATTATCTTACTTCATCGCCGAGGAGGCTATTATGTGTGGAGACGTGCTGATGAACGCTTTCTTCGTAGTTGTACTCCGTACAGAAGCGGCAATCGCAATTACGTGATTCAGCATCAACGCTTATTTCTAGAAGCTGCAGTTGCTGCTCAATACTCCCTCCTGTTCTCCAGAATCCGGGCATGCGGACCCCGTATCGAAATTCATATCAAAACTTATATGAACAGCTTTGTCTGCGGTCGTCAGGGTAATCATAAACATATACGTGACCTGCATAATGGGTACAATAAAGTCTCCACTCCAGGCATGTCACACGAACATGCAAGCATGAGATGCCGGCACCGGTGTCGTCGTACCGGTGGCCGGTGCGAGAGGCCAGTTCAGTCCCTGAAATCGAACCCCTAGCCTGGGGGACGTGCCTGGTTAATCCTCGGAACCCCTCCCCCACCAACTGCTCATGATTCCGCGCTGCCCTTTTTGTATTGACCTCTCTTGGTGGAGGAGTAGCGGGGATCATTCCGCACGCTGTTAGATGGTAGACCAAATTTTTGGAGGGGTCACAGAAAATTTCTTAGGCCGAGTGGCAGCCCACCCCACCATAATACAAGAAAGCATAATTTCTTCTTCAAGATCTTGTCATATCTACTACTAGACCTTTTACCAAACACATCTATATCGAATCACTCCAAGGCTCAACATGTCTAAGCGCACAGCGGCTGATGGCGGTGACGACACCCCCCTCAAGGGGGGTGACCGTCCCGATCAGATGGATGTCGACGACCAGCCCAACAAGGAGATGGGCGAATTCGAGGACGAGTTTGAGGACGAGTTTGAGAGCGAGGACGAGATCTTCGAGGCTGGCATTGATGGGCGTCCAGACGCTGAACGCGAGGCCGAGGAAAAAGGTGAGAATATGTCTCTGGACCTTTGTGCCCGCACGAACAATACGTGAAGTCGTGTGAGCTCTTTGGCTAAATCGACAGCGGCAGATGGCATGGACGTCGACCAGGCCCAGCAGGGCACCTTCATCGTCGGACGCAACAAGCTTGAGCCGGGACAGACTCTCTCCCCTGATATGACGACCTATGAGATGCTCCACAGCCTGAGCACGCCGTGGCCGTGCCTGTCATTTGACATTATCAGGGACTCGCTGGGCGACAATCGCAAGACGTACCCGGCCACCATGTACACCGTGGCCGGCACCCAGGCCGAGAGCGCGCGCGCGTCGGACAACCAGCTCATAGTCATGAAGTTCAGCGGCCTTAGCAAGACCAGCCCGGACGATAAGGATGGTTCGGACGACGAGGACGACGATGATGACGACGAGGACGCCGACCCGATCCTCGAGAGCAGGTCCATCCCACTCAAGTCGTGCACCAACCGCGTGCGGGCCCACGCCATCCCCAACGACCAGGGTGGTGCCCCCACGACGCTGACGGCGTCTATGACGGAGTCGAGCGGCGTGCTCATCCACGACATCACACCCCACCTAACCTCGTTCGACACGCCAGGGGCCACCATCTCAGCGCAGCAGAACAAGCCCCTATCGACGGTGCGCATCCACAAGTCCGAGGGTTATGGAATTGACTGGTCGCCGACGGTGCACGGGAGGCTCCTAACGGGCGACAACGACGGACTCATCTACATGACGTCGCGGACTGACGGCGGTGGCTGGCAGACGGATAACCGCGCCTTCCAGGGCCACACAGGCAGCGTCGAGGAGATCCAGTGGTCGCCGTCGGAGCAGAGTGTCTTCGCCTCGGCGTCGAGCGACGGCACCATCCGCATCTGGGACGTGCGCTCCAAGGCCCGCAAAGCCGCCATCACCATGCAGGTGTCCGACTACGACGTCAACGTCATGTCGTGGTCGCGCCAGACCAGTCACCTGCTCGCCTCCGGCGCCGACGACGGTACCTGGGGCGTCTGGGACCTGCGCCAGTGGAAGGTCAGCAGTGACAAGCCTCAGCCCCTCGCCAGCTTCAACTTCCACAAGGAGCAGATCACATCAGTCGAGTGGCACCCCACCGACGACTCCATCGTCGCCGTTGCCGCCGGGGACAACACCGTCTCCCTCTGGGATCTGGCCGTCGAGCTGGACGACGAGGAGTCCAAGACCTCTGCCGTCCCCGGCGACGTGCCCCCCCAACTCCTCTTTGTCCACTATCTCAAGGATGTCAAGGAGGTGCACTGGCACCCCCAAATAATCGGAAGCCTGGTAGCCACCGGAGAGGACTTCAGTGTTTTCCGCACCATCAGCGTATAAAAAAAGAGCGAGAACAAGTACAAAAACAAAAGGGTTCTTATAGAGACAGTTTTTTTTCAATACGCAACGACGAAATGACAACACTGCAGAGCAAAGCTGGCGATGAGATACAGGATCCCCTCCACGCATGCATGCATGAATCACTGCCTGCCTACTTCCGATCCAGGGATCTTGTACTTGTGGTTAGACACTCTATGGAAGCTATACCATCGGCTCCTCACCGACGCTGATTCGAGACTTCTCAAAGCTGGCCAAGCCTAGCGGCATCTGCTTGCAAGCAGGGCACATACAATCTAGAAGCTTACAGCCATAGAATCCTGAAAGTAGTATTTTTTTCGAGGTCTATGGAAGTCCTTCTTGACTTATCTAGCACAACCGGACCAAATTTACGTCTAGTATACTGAGTAACTCAGTCACAGGGTGGCTGGCGCACCATGATTTAGAATAAGGAAAACAAAAAAACCATCCCCGCATGAAAACAAAGTACAGCGTTGAGAAAGAAAATAGTACATTTATTTTTGATCAATTCGCTTTGTGAAGGTGTGAAATAAAACCATTGGACATGACTAGATGGCCGTTCCTGGCGCCCCCCCCGGGCTTGCTGTTCCTGGGCGCTGAGACTGCGCCATCAAGCACGCCTCGTCGTTGTCGCTGTACTGGATGTCATACGTTGTCTGTATGACGATGCCTGACTTGTCGACACCGCTACTAACCCCGGGGGCTTTTGAGACGGAGGCTCTGTGGCCGTGACAGACTTTGGGGCCGGTTGACCGACTCTGGCCCGCCTCGTCACTGCCGTGCTGGTGGTTGTTAAGGGTAGCCTTCGAGCTGGTACCCAGGGTGCCGTCGAATTTGTTCTTCCCGGTGGCTCTCCTAGTGGAAGTATCATCTCCATGACTTCCGCTGGAAGTGGCCGACTGGCTCTGTCCCAACTCCTCTGAGATGTCGTCGCCATTGTTGTTCCCCGGGAGCCCGTCCGCAGGGGCTATGTGGCTGCGGTTGTTCGACTGGCTCTTCTCCATGTCCACCAGGTGCATCTCATCATTCTCGGTGTAATGGATGCCGTATCTCATCTCCATGGCGATGTCGCTGACGTCGCGGTCGTTACTGTCGTTGACCCTGTTGGCCGAGGCCAGGTGGCTATGGGTCTTTCCACTGTGGGTCGACGACTGCAAGCGCCCCGCTTTGGGAGTCTGTCGGTAGTACTGGGGCGTCTTGTTGTCCGTGGAGCCGCCCAAGACGGGGAACATCCTGACGATGATGAGACGCAAAGATGGCAGGCAGGCGCAGGCAACGCCAACGCCGACCTCGAGCGTCGACCACAATGTCACGTTGTAGAATTCCCATGTCGTGTTGAATGTGTGGGAAAACGAGATGAGGGATTGAAGCCTGATGATGCTCACGATAGTGACGCTGGGAGCTCTGTGTTAGCATGTAACCCGTGACGTCCAGTTCCCTGTCTTCTCTTCCTTGCTTTCCTTCTCTTCTCGGGGAAGAATGGGAGGAGAAGCAAAGGGGAGGGGGGATAGCGTTGAAACGTACAAGGCTCCGACACTGAACATGATTCCAACGCCGATTTTCTTCTTCCAGTGTAGTTGGAGACGACGGAGCTCCCACATGGGGATTCCTAGGACCCAGAGGTCGAGAGCGATGTTGATGGCGGCGTTGCTCCAGGCGACAGCGTTAATGTTGATGCACTGACGGTCCTCGGGGTGCGTCCACCTGGTCCAGAAGCTGTTGATCGGTATGCACTGGAAGATACCGGCCAGCGTGAAGACGACTCCGGTGATGATGATGAAGATCTGGCTCGCCCAGAGTAGACGCCTGGTGTTGGGCGACGGGAAGATGCGCATGTAGAAGGCCACAAATGTCATCTTGAGGAGGGTTGTGGTGATGAAGTAAATGCACGTGGTGATGTAAAAATACTTGAGCACCTTTGTGATCTGCTCGTCGGTGAGCGTCCAGATATCCCGACCGAGGCCGTTGGCTGTGGTGCCATAGACGATGATGGAGGCGGTGGGCGCAGCGGACAAGGCTGCGGCGAGAACCAGCCAGTCGTCCGGGCTGAAGGCCATTTTGAGGACGAAGAGTTTGAAGACGAAGCGGGCAACGAGCATGACGGCGGTGATGATGACCAGAGTATCAGACAATATAACTAGGTCGCGCGATCGATCTCGAGCCGGGGCCCCGCAGGCGGTAGCGGTGGTATTCTTGGTGGCTGTTTGTCGGAATTTCGTCTCGTTAGAATAGCAACGCTCTCTTCAAGGGGTGGGGGAAGGTCATTCCACTGTCCCGACTTGTATTATGGACACTTACTGAGAGACTCCGGAATTGAGCAAGATGCGATCACGCAGACGGTTACATTGGACTGGAACGTCGGATCAGTGCACATGCACGTCTGGTCTGTGGCAGGGCAAAGACCGCCGTATATAGCGGAAACGAGGCATCCTTGCTATCAGAGTGGGAAAAGGTCAGTTACGGTGTGCTGCCACGAAAGCACATGCGTTGATCAAGATGACTAGAAGGTAAACTTACTGCGCACTCTGCGTATATATCGAGGCTGAAAGCACGCCGGGCCGGGTCCTCACATAGTCCCAAGCTCGACAGACTCAGGAGAGTCAGAAAGGTGATATAACGAAGACTCATGATTGTTCATTCGCCTCTTCACCTCACACCAGATGGTTCATTCCAGACAAAGATGATGGGCCCAAGCGGGAGCAGGGGGGGGATGACGGGAAGATATGCAAAAGGAAAAGGGGGTACTCCGGGGAGGGGTGTCTAATACCAGGAGGACGCGGCTATGAACAGTTGGAAACATGGGACGACGGGTATAGTTAGTTAGCTACCTGCTACTACTAGTTGTCTGTCTGTGTAGTACGAGGCGAGTATGCCGCCGCCACTGCGCCAGGCACCAGGCTCGATCTCAATAGCTGCGTCTATTAGCGTAATCGAGCTGGACCCCTGTTTGGACGGCAATATGTCGAGTACGGAGTATAGATGTAATGCGATGGGCACAGGGCCATAGGCACGATGGTTGGACAAGGGTCGATGCTAAAGATCAGCCATGACTCCACTTGAATACACTGACCTTGAGATGATCACGACGAGAGCTGACAGTGTTTTGACTGCCCAGAAAGAGCCAGAAAAAAGACTGGATTAAACAGGCTGTTATACTATTGGACCCGGCGAAATTCTAAAATGTATTTCTATATCAATCAGAGCAGATGGTGACATTGCAATGCACATAACCATAGAATACCAATAGTCGGTTTCATAGAGAAAGAAGGAACGAGAGGAAAAAAGGACAGTCAGTACCACATTAATGGTTACCGATGTTGAGATCAAAGTGGGTTCTTTTGTTGCAAAATGACTCCGGGTCCCATATGGCATGGTTCACGTATACCACCAAGCTCAATTAGGAAATAACCCGACCCCATCGGAGCGGGAGCGGGCGACTGGACACTTTTTTCTTGTCCGCTGCAATGCAGGTTGCGGGTCCGGCCCTAAAAATGGCGTGCCGGGTATTCCGGGAGAAATTGTCTGCTCCGAGTGCGGTATAACCGCGACCGGTCCGAGCGAGTTGAGCGCATTTATCGCATCCATCACCACTTATCTATCATCGAGTTCTCTTTTTATGTACGCTGATCAAGGTGTCAACTGTCAACGGTCACGGCAATCTATCTCATGTATTACAACGCGCGCGCGCGCGCGTGTGTGTGCCAACCTCGGATACGAGTAGTCCAGACAACGCTAGAATAGTCCGACACACAGTCTCAATTTGTCTAGGCGACCAAGCGTGTACGCTATTCTATACTAGTATCATGGGGGTAGCAACCAGCCCACCAACGGCGTGGTTCTCGATTCAGTTTTATTCTCAGACACAACCTAACATTGGATCTTCGAAATATCCGTATTGCTTCTTCCCCACGAGTAGTCCTAGTAGTAGGGGTGGTAGTAGTAGGAGTGATAGCAGCAGCAGCAGCAGCAATAGTAGTAGTAGCAGCAACAGTAGTAGTGTCAATACCCATCGCATTGAATTAGGACCGGCCAAGCTGTAGAGAGATCTCAACGTGCAATGTACGAGTGTAGATACATGGGTTGACGGTGGTCGAGGGCGTTCACGGAGGTAGATTCTAGACGATATAGTGCCACTAGTTATGATCAGCATCACGCTTAATGTGGCATGAACGTGACGTTGGTGTAATTGAAAGGACTCATAGATGACAACGATTCAGATTCGTGGAAACTAAAGGAACCCCCTTAAGGAAGAAGATCCTAGTCTCACAGCTCTATGGTGCCCGGGTACGTCGTACGGAGCATATCTGCATACGACTACTCGTAATCAACCAGGGTCGCTATTAGTTACCCTCATGATCCATGGAGCTGGGATTTTTCTTTTCCTTTCTTTCTTTTCCGCCCAATGGAAATACCACACTCTGTATTTTCCATCTAGTCTTCTTGGCAGGGGGGATGCACTCCCTCACGTGGCAGTGGGCTACGTCGTATCGAACGATGAAAAGAGGAAAAGAAAGATTGAGCTGAGACTTAATAGTGGCGACGGGGTCGACAGCTCGTTCCACTCTTTCTTATGATGTGGCGCTACACTCTGCACCTCCAGCCCCCGCGGAGCATGCTAACCGGCTCGGTGAAGACTTTCCGCAGATAATCTAATAGACTTCAGCTCACCTAACCAGGAACTGGTTAAGTTTCTCGATGTAGTTAGAAGTATCGTGCCCGCTGACTCCGGTTGCATTGGTCAAGCGTGCTAGATTCGATTCGATCCCTCTCACGAAACCCTATTGGTTCACTCGTAGGGCAGCAGACACTAGGCGCAATAGGTATCGAGTTGCGATTGAGAAGACGGAGAACGCCTGTTTGTTTTTTTGATGTTTTTTTTTTTTGGACGTGAAGTGTAGACCCTCTAGACCCCCCGACCCCTCCCCCCCCTTTCTCCTGACTCATGCGTGTCTTCCAATCTGAGTGCACGCAGTGAGTCCTACCACTGGTAATGCCATATCTGCGCTTCCCCAGTGGGAAGAACTAATTCCGCTTTCCGATATTGGCGTATTGACGACGCAAGCCATGCATCAGGGGAAACGGCAATAATGGCAAGTTCAGATGCGACGGGTGCCTGTCGGGTGTTGTGACTCTGCGTCACACTACTGGTAGGATCATTACATTTCCCAATCTATCAGACGAAGGGGGGGTAGGGGGAGATGGGGAAAACGCCACCATCTCAGTCTCGCGTACCCCGTATACTATACTGCAATAGTGATAGCTGTATTGCATGTATCATCCGTCGACTCCTGCAGTTTCGCGTCTCGCCATGAGACAGATAGATGCATAGCGTGTGAACCGTAGACGCTACCCATTTTGACTTCTCACCACGCGGTGCGGCCTGACTTGCTATCACCGAAGACATCCTTCATTCTGGCCATTATACTTTGCACCGCTCTATCACGCAAGTGCCACGTTACGACCAGGCGGGATGGAAATATTTGTAATTCTTCGTACGGTTGCCCTGATGGGGACGTGGATAAGACATGGCATATATTACTTGCCGGAGTGATCCTTCGAATACTGCTTTACTTCAAGCCCTGACCCATGGTAACTGATTACTCCTGTCTGTCATCCCAACCTCGTCTGCAGCGACGATGCTTCCATCATGATGTCTGAGGACCAGGTTGCCCTCGGTTCGGGCTCTCTACACCTCACATCCGGTCTTCAGGGAGGACTGCTCGCAATCGCCATAGTCGCCTGCGTCTCCTTTGTCTCATCGACCGTACTATTCTTCTACATCAGTTACAAGCTGGCATGGCACTTCTACTTCAACAAGCCGGTCAATAAACGCCAAGACAGTGTCGATACTCATGCCTCGGATAATATACAAGATTTCGAGCTTGGAATCGACGGCGTCTTTGCCGGTGGTCGTGAAGAGGATAGACAGGTCCATGATGGTCGACTCGGACCCAAGAGAGGCAAGCATGGAGACCATCGACAACCTCCAAATCAGTTCCTGATCCTCATATTCAATCTTCTCTTGGCCGACATGCACCAGGCTCTGGCCTTCTTCCTCAACATAGAGTGGTTTCGCACAGGTCTGATTCGTGTCGGGACCTCTACGTGCTTCGCCCAAGGTCTCTTCATATCCACCGGTGACCTCGCTTCGAGTTCCTTTATAACAGCCATTGCCATCCACACCTACATGTCTGTCATCCACCACCGCACAATACCCCAGCCTCGTTTATACACGGCCATTCTCTGTATCTGGCTCTTTGTCTACGCCATCGCCACCATCCCCATTGCTGCCACCCTCAACGGCACTCACCATGGTGGGTTCTTCGTTCGCGCAGGAGCGTGGGTAAGTAACCGTCAAAGCTTTCAAAGTTAAGTAAATATCTCGCTCGTTCTAATTGTTATTATATTTAGTGCTGGATGAATAGCACCTACGAAACTCTCCGACTCGTCACCCACTATCTCTTTATCTTTATTTCTCTGGCTACAACGACATGCCTCTACCTGGCCATCGTCATCAGTCTCCACCGACAAGCCCTACCTACGGGTCCTCTTGACCAGGAAACTGATTTTTCGCCCGCAGTTCAAGCTCGACAGCAGCTGTCTCGAAACCCGGCATTCCTCATCTACCCTTTGATATACCTTCTCTGCACACTACCCCTCGCACTCGGGCGAGTCGCCAGCATGGCTGGCACCACCGTGCCTCTTGGCTACATGTGCTTCGCGGGCGTCATGATTGCCTCCAACGGCATGTTTGACTGCCTCCTGTTCAGCACGACGCGAAACACAATAGTCTTCGCAAGCAAGCACAGAATCGACAACCAGAGCACAGGACTACAAACATTCGCATTCATGAAGACACCCAAGTCAAGACGCTACGGAAACATGGTGTGGATCCAGGGCGGCCATGGTGGTACTCCATCCAATAGTTACGACATGACGACGGGCGAGTGGTGGTCATGGAGGCGGCTAATGGGTCGGAAGGGCCACAACAATACACGTGCGCAAACAGGCAGGCACAAACGGGACGGATCATCCAGGATCAGCCAGGAGTCATTCAGGAGGGAGACGGCCATACAGATGGAGACTGTTACCTCGGTGGTCATCGAGGCGGAACCACGCAAAGACTCGGATGATCTATTCCCAACTGTGTCAACAGGCTCATCTGTCGAAGATGCTACCATGCAAGACATCCCTGAATGGTAGCTTCCTCTTGAAATGTTGATGATAATGAAGAAGATATCGATCCAACGAACGAAGTGCCCATTCTCTTGAAAACTAAGTATACGTGTACATATACTCGAGATGAGTTTCATGCATCGCTCCTCAATTCTGGTCCTTAAGGATATGCAGGAAATGTACTCCAAGTCAAAGGGAACGCAACGAGAAGTCCTTGACATGATGCCGGAAATGACTGTGTACTGGCTTCCTTGATTGATGTACGTGATATGGGTGACTCTTCTAACCTGCTGTGCTTCCTGTTGGCGCAACACACGATGGCCCATAGACGTAGATCTAGTGTATCTGTCTACTGGTACGTCCTGTATCAATAAGTGTTCGTCTTGGTGTTTGCTTGATTGAAAGGAAAGGAAATCTATCTGTTTGCGCCAAGCTGCCAAATGCGGCCGGAAGAAGGGGTAACCCGGTACCGGGGTTGTTGCCTCAGGATGACTTGGCAAACATACATATTACTATCACGAAGAGAGTCATCCTAGAAAATACAACTACCGATCATCACAACCGCAAAGGCTCTTCTTGAAGAAGGAGTTGATGCACCTGTGATATCGTACGGTGAAGATAAAGGAAGAAAGACGATACCAACACTATCTATGAGGTTATCTACAGATGTGAATGTGGTAGTAGCCTCTGGTTGCTTAGTCATATACAATCTTGGATGCCACACTGTAAACGAACGATGTAGAGTGAGTCTACACAATTATTTCTAGTTTGTACAAACACCACCAAACGCCACATAATCGTTATTCCGGTTCAGATCTGTGCCTTAGGGCTTTGGGCAAACATCATCAGATCAGATATATCTACAGCCTCACCCTTCTCCTAGATGGATAGAACATGTAAGATCAATACAACTGCCGCGGCCCTTCTTTTGAAGGGGCTAACGTATCTACATCACCTACGCACGTGTGTGATAGCGATACCAACACTAATATTTTCACAAGAACGAATAGACAATTCCACAACAAAGAATCAAGTGTTGAGGCACGAGGAATGTGGTACAAGAAGCCGAGAGAACGAAGGTGATGATGATGATAATAAGCTAGCTAGCTAATGCACAGGAAAGTGAGCTGTATGTGTGTGGGCTGGCTGAAACACGTGACCAATGTGGCCTAAGGCCATCAACATCAAGAAACATCATATCATCGAGAAATCGTATAGAATATAGAAAGAATGATGAGGATGACGTAAAACGAACGAAGTATTCAAACTGGCCAATGACGCCAAAGAACAACGCTGATGTGAACCCCCTGGTTAACGGAACAAGATGCTTCAATTTGCCAGTGCCAACCCGACCCCTTTCCTTTATTTTCCCTTTGCCCCCCCCCCCCCCCCTCTTTACTTGATGGTCTCTCTAACATCAAAAAGACTAGCATTTCCATCACTGTCACCGAGAATAATATGGAGGCTATCTGGCGAAAACCCTATCTCCGTCACCTTTGCCAGGTCACCCATGCTTTGAAGCGAGGTTTGTGCGCCCTCCCCACCGACCGACCAGAGCTCGTCTCCAGACTGAGCGTCGAGGATGGCGAGCTTGGATCGCTTGTCTGCGATGTGGCAGTAGGCAACGAAGCGACAGTCGGGGGAGATGCAACACGTTGTGTTGGGGATACCGTACGTGCGCGTTGAGTTCTCAGACAGGTCCCAAACCAGAACGTAGCGGAAGGGAACGGGAGTTGGAGCCAAGGTGTATTCGAAGTCGCCGCTTGCCTTGGTCTTAGTGACGGTGCGGTGGCCAGCGGGGATCCACATGGAGATGATGATATCGCCATAGATGACCAGTTCACACGGCATGGCTGTCTCAAGCTCGCGGTGCTGCCAAGGGCGAACGACTCGGTAGGGCTTGCTGGACACGTCGCGGTAATCTGAGATATCCCAGGCGACAAGAAGAGTCTCGCGGTCTGGTGGCGGATGCCCGGCGCGAGGGGTGCGGGGCCCCGATGCGGCTATAAGGAGCGGACTCGTCGATGATATTGCGAGCTCGGGGAACTGAGGGAGCAAGGGGAGGCCGGCCTTGCGCAGGTCGATGGTGCGGACCTTGAGAAACGGCTTCTTGTCGCGCGTCGTAGCAGCAAACAGATCGATTACCGAGTCCCTGGAGCGATAGGCCGCCAGGGCGCTCCACCCGCTACCGTACGACTCGAAGCGGCTGGCTACCCACCGATCAGCATCCTCAATCGTCTGTAGACGCTTGGGTTTGGTGAAGTTCCATATCTCAATAGTCCTGCCAAAATGCGTTGCGATGGCGGCCAACTGTGCGGACTCTGAAAGTATGGTATGGCTGCGAATAATGTAGTCGCGGGACCGGCTGCGCGCCTCAATGTACGCCTGCACCTTGACAGAGGTGAATAAGGAGCCTGTGGGTACTGACCAGAACTTGATAATATTGTTTCCGTGCTTAGTCGCCACTGTTGATGATGATAATGACATATCAATGTGGTATATGGAGTTGGCCTTGCGTTTTTCGGCCCCCGCAAGCTGTTTGGAGAACAGTACATCAACGGCGCTCCTGGGTGGGGGCAATTTGGCATCGTCGATGAAGTCGGACACTTGGTCGAGCCTGAGGTGCTCCGGGGGCCTCGGGGGAACGGACGGACGGGCAAGCATGGAGTTGAGAGAGGACCGCGAGGCCTCGGTCGAGTTGGTGGGAGCGCCGGCCGAAGAAGATGACTGCGAGAAGCGGTCCATGTCAACGAATGAGGACTTGTCTGACCACGACAGTTGTGATGACAAATGAGGCGAAGCAGCGATGGATGTCGGGGGCGAGGCAGGCACCGCCGGCAGGGGCTTAGAAGGAGCCGGGAAGGGGCTGGCGGTACTCCGTGGCGATTGCACGTGGGATGTTGCCGACGTGGTGGACGAGGAACTAGTGTGCAAAGACGATGAGATGGAAGACCTTCGGCCGTGGTTTTGATATTGCATACTGCCACTCTTGGCTGAAAGGCGGCGTCCGGCGTTGAATTCGTTAGAAGGACGAATATACGTTGATTCGCCTTCAATTGTGGACCACGGTATGAAGGAGTCTACGATGGGATTTGACCTTGGACTGGAATCTTGTGGTAAATGGCGGTTCGGGCAGTGGTGATTGTTGTTCTGATGACGGTAGGAAGGTGATCCAAAGGGGACAACACCAGTGGATGGTGCGAGGGATGGAGAGGAAGTAGTTGTCAACGAGTTGACCGGGTTATTCCCCAGACGGGCTAATGAGCTTCTACAACGGTCGTGTCAGCACTGGGACGCCGGGAAATTATCTAATAGAAGCCAACATACGCCATCTCATGGATGGTGTCGTCCCGCGCGACAGGGTCCATTGTTGCGTGTGTGTGTGCGTCAGCGCTAAGCGCGTGAAATTATTAGGTGAGCGGCAGTAGCGAGCCGTTAAAGAAGTTCATCTCCAGTCAGCGCAGTAACGAGCAGCCCCCCGCAGTCTTGGATCGGGGCGTCGCTAGGGGTTGCCAGAAAGCATCTGGATCGGTTCAAGCATGTGTGATGTTGGCAGAATTAGGAGCAATCAAAGTTTGTGTCGACCTTGGCTGCCTTAATCGCCTGCTCTAGTCTCAGCAGCGACCTAGTATTATGCGTGTGACGCCGTAGGAGGCGGGAAGTCTCGCGGAGTATGAAGAGATCGTATAGAGCGAAGGGTCAGAGAGAGAAACAAGGAGAGACGGGAGAGGGTTTGAGAAGGAAAAGAGAAGGGGAGGGAGAGAGAGAAGTAGGAGATGACTACTAGTCTGTGCGGATGGCAAGGTATAATATTTACTAGCAGACTCTTCGCCATATCACATTACCCATGAACAGAGCTGAGGCATGGCTGTCGCCAGTCAGTGGCCGGTCGGGAAGGAGGGATGAGCGTCGTGATTAGTTGCCCTAACTCATCGGACCGGGGCATGGATGGATGAGACCGTGGGGAGCCGTTGGCCCGTTGCCGCCACTTTACGATCCGGGTTCGTCCAATAAATGGCGTAGTTCGACTCCATCCTTCAACTCAACTCTACTAAGAGCGGGGTAGCGTTAAACGCCTTGGCTCTCTGTACTCGTACATGCCTGTACACCGTCTGCTCAAGACAAAATCGTATGGGTGCTCAACCGGAGCTCTTTTCTGTGCTGATTCTAGTCCTTCCCCAGACCCAACTCTACGACATATCAACAAAAATAAAAACACCCCAGACAACCAGCTTTTTTAGCTGCCCTATCAAGAAAGAGGTTTCTTTGAATTGTCGGATTCTTCATGACAGGTGCCGTACTTGCATCATCATATAGACACGACCCCGCGTTTCGATAGAACCAGCCCAATGAAAGAAGAGGCAGGGGGGATGAAAGGATGGGGGCAGGGAGGCATGGGGACTGGTGGAGCCCTCCAACTGACCTCTGTAATACGGAGGTCGTACGACAAAGGCGGAGTGGAAGAAAAGAGGGAAATTTTTACTTCTCCGCGCTACCCTTTGAGAAGTCTCAACACAGCCTGTCCGCAATGTCGCTGATTAGCTGTGGCCGGTTGGCCCTGCCGAGGTAAACATGAACAGGATAGAGCACCGTTAGGGAAGCCTGTGATGGGTATGGGTCAAGTGGCCAATTACGCTCGAGTGTCTCATGGTGCGCCAAATCATTTCTGGCTCAATCGCCGGCGCGTGGCTTGCAACATCCCTGGACCCTGGCTTGACTAGTCATCGTCTAATGTTATCTAGGGGTAATAGCCCGCTGCCGAATGTTGCAATCTGCTCTTTGCCATCAACAGACATTACGGCGATCACTAACAGTTGTAAATTGGGATGCGCTTTGCATGTAGAGTCCCACGGGATAATTGGTGATGGCTTCGCACATGCGAACAAGGCTCGCAGTGCTTCCGGCCGAAACATATATGTATGTTTCTAGTATAAACTCATAGAATTAAGTGGGCATGAAAGACCTTGTGGATTTTGAGAAAGCCAGGAATCAGATAAAAGGACTTAGTCTACAAACCTGTAGACGGAGAGTAGAGCTCTAGACGGAGTGTATGTGAGTCAAAGACCGGAGGGGAGTGGAGTGAATACGTTAGAGGCATTGTGCGCGTCTCTACGGGAGTGGTGTTATAACCGGGGTTGTCTCGGCCAGCTGACTTGGCGCGGGGTACGCGTTATTGTCTGCTTTCATTGTCGTCAGTGGGGCCACCGCATCTTTCCCTCCTACCTCATCATTCAACATACATCAGCGGAGCAAGATGGCCAACATACCTAATCTCAACGTGAAAGCAACATCACTCGATACCATATCCGAAAAAGTGGCGAGAGCTGGAAATCTACCGGCGTTAGATGGAGGAACGAGGATTATAGAGGCATTGGCCGAGTTAACCCTTGAGGTTAGACAGCTACGGGAACAGCTACCGGAGGAGCTGGCGAATGTGCGTCGGGAGATGCAGCAGGGCTTCTCTACACTATCACTAGGAGATGAAGCAGGAAGCTAACGCAGAGTAGAGATCGGAATGCATCGATTGCACGGGAGAATGCATCGGCGGTGAAGCCAGACAGTTCTTTAGAGCCTTTGCTCAGTATCGAGACCGGACATGTGCTGCAGAGGTTCCCTCTTACGCCGGAGGAGTTAGCACGGTTGCCTTTTGAGTGCTGACGTATATCTATCTTAGATATCGGTTGGGCAGCAGATGTGGCTAACATAGATGGCTTCTAGCTACCGAGGTCAACGCTCTTCTCTCTCAATTAAGAATTCCTAGATGGGGTAACGTAGCGACACAGAGGAAGATTTTAGCGACAAAAAGAATAGAGAAACCCTATGAGAGAGAGAGAAAGAGAGAGAGATGGAGAGAGAGAGATGGAGAGAGAGAGAGAGAGAGAGAGAGAGAGAGAAGAGGGTTCGACCTCTCCATGTACATCACGCGACGACGTTGA